CTGTCCAAAGGATTCTTTTCCTTTGCCTCGAATAGATCAACTGGTTGATGCCACTGCAGGACATGAAAGATTGAGTTTCATGGATGCCTACTYTGGAYATAATCAAATCAAGATSCATGTACCGGATYRGGAKAAAACYTCTTTTGTCACGAGTCGAGGCTTGTATTRCTACACYGTGATGCCGTTTGGAYTAAAGAATGCAGGTGCAACCTACCAACGAATGGTGAATCRGATGTTTGCAGCCTTAATCGGCAAAAATATGGAAGTCTACGTAGACGACATGCTGGTAAAGAGTCGAAAGAACGAGCGACACGAGGAGGATTTGGCAGAAGCGTTCGACATCTTGTGAAAGTACAAGATGAAGTTGAATCCCACCAAATGCACGTTTGGAGTGACCTCAGGCAAGTTCCTGGGATTTTTAGTGCACCAAAGGGGAATCGAAGCCAATCCAGATAAGATCAAAGCTGTTCCGGAGATGGATCCACCTAAAACTCTAAAGCAGCTGTAGGGACTCAATGGAAGGATAGCAGCACTCAACAGATTCGTTAGCCGTTCCACTGACAAGTGCCTACCATTCTTCAAAATCTTAAGGAAGAAAGGACAATTTGAATGGACGGAAGAGTACGAGGCTGCCTTTAAGGAGCTGAAACAGTACCTAGGGGCAGCTCCACTCCTCGCAAAGCCGATCGTGAGTGATGAGCTCTACTTATACTTAGCTGTATCCAGCACTGCGGTGAGTTCCGCGTTAATAAAGGAAGAAGATGGACGACAATCCCCAATTTACTACACAAGCAAAGCAATGGTAGATGCAGAACTTAGATACCYACCAATGGAGAAGCTGGCATTGGCACTGGTCACTTCAGCTCGGAGACTACGCCCGTATTTCCAAGCTCACAAAATAATGGTCCTCACCAACTTTCCCTTACGACAGATCTTACAAAAGCCAGACACTTCTAGACGACTGGTAAAGTGGGCTGTAGAGCTCAGCGAGTACGACATTCACTATAAGCCAAGAACTGCCATGAAAGGGCAGGTTGTGGCAGACTTCATAGCGGAATTAACACCAACAGAGCCTCAAGTATATAGTATCGACCCACAAGTGGTCGAGGAAGAATAACTCTAGACACTCTACGTAGATGGGTCCTCAAATTTTCGGGGATGCGGGGCAGGACTCCTACTAATCTCTCCAGATAAAGAAAAATTCGAATATGCACTGCGATTCAACTTTCATGCATCCAACAACGAAGCCGAGTACGAAGCTCTACTAGCAGGACTAAAAGTGGCCAGGTACGTTGGGGTCAGGAACATACTAATACTTAGTGATTCACAGCTGATTGTGGGTCAGGTGAAAGAGGAGTTCCAGGCTAGAGAACCGCGAATGGCGAAATACCTTTCACAGGTAAGAAACCAGCTCGACCAGTTCTCAAAATATGAGATTCGACAAATTCTACATGCTCAAAACGTCAACGCCGATGCGTTAGCTCGACTAGCTGCGGCTTATGAAACCGACTTAGGCAGAACTGTACCGGTCGAGATTCTACCCGAGCCAAGCATAGAAGCTCAGGAAGCCATGGATATTGACAATCAAGGGCAACCAGAAGAAAACTGGAAGAGTCCTTTGATCAAATATTTGAAAGATGGGATCCTGCCTACTGAAAAGATAGAGGCCCAGCAGCTACCACGACGAGCGGCCAGATATGTGCTTAAAGACGACAATCTGTACAAAAGAGGCTACTCGTTGCCGCTTTTAAAATGTCTAACGCCCGATGAAGCCGACTACGTCATGAGAGAGATACATGAGGGTGTTTGTGGGAGCCATTTTGGAGCAYGATCCCTAAGTCACAAAATAATTCGACAAGGGTACTACTGGCCGACCATGCTGAATGACACGAAGCAATTCACCAAAAAATGCGACAAATGCCAACGGTTTGCAACCGTACCTAGACAACCGCCAGAGCCTCTGACAAGCATAATGAGTCCTTGGCCCTTTGCTAAGTGGGGAATAGACCTTATAGGGCATCTCCCACTAGGAAAGGGCCAGACCAAATTTGCAGTAGTGGCAGTCGACTATTTTACTAAGTGGGCCGAAGCCAAAGCCCTAGCGACAATTACAGAGAAAAAGGTCACCGAGTTCATCTGGAAGAACATAATTTGCCGCTTCGGAATACCCTACGCCATTATCAGTGATAATGGGAAGCAGTTCGACAATGCTGCCTTTCGAGAATTTTGTAGGGAGTTGGGCATTAAGCACATCTGTTCCTCGCCAGCACATCCGCAGGCTAATAAGCAGGTTGAAGCAGTCAACAAAATTATCAAAAGAACTCTGAAGACCAGATTAGAAAAGCTCAAAGGGTTGTGGGCAGAGGAACTTCCCAACGCATTATGGGCATACAGAACGACACCTTGTACTTCGACAGGAGAAACGCCATTTTCATTATCATTTGGCTCTGAGGCGGTAGTGCCAGTCGAGATCGGACTCCCCTCCCCAAGGGTAGAGCAGTTCACTCTACTTGACAACAACGAATCCGTAAAGCTCAACCTCGACCTATTAGAAGAACATCGAGAAACAGCACGACTACGAACGACTGAATACAAAAATCGAATAGCTCGATACTACAACTCGAAGGTCAAGCAACGTGACTTTAGAGAAGGTGATCTGGTGTTAAGAAAGGTTATGCCCAATACAAAAGATTCAACTAGCGGTGCGCTCGGGCCAACATGGGAGGGCCCATACAAAGTCACTTAAGTGGTGCGAATAGGCACTTATGCTTTAGAAGACCAGCGGGGGAAGGCCTTACTACACCCGTGGCACGCCCAACACCTCAAAAGATACTACCACTAGTTCGACATATTTCTGGACATTTTTATGTTTCTCCATTATTTGGACCAACTAAGCTTATTGTAACCAAATCTTCGACAGGACGATTTTCTTACTAATAAAGTATTCGACGTTCGACGTGATACTTGAGTTCTTATGTTCATTCTGAAATAAATTTCTCAAGCAGGGGGCATCATATAAATATCTACATATCTACAACCTGAACATCTACATATCTACGACCAATCAAGGAACTCAAAATTGGGACGGACCTAGAAGCAGGCCGATAAGCTGAAAGCCAATCAGTGAAACCAGGGAAAAGAATCCCGAGGTGCTGAGAAAGGCATGCGTACGGGCCCAGCAAGGTTAAAACCGAAAACAGGCAAGCCTAACTGATCAACGAAACCCACGGGTAGAAAATCACATGGCAAAAGCCAAAATAGGTTAAAAACTCGAGGGTGTTGATTTAACTGGGGGTAAAAAACCAGCAGAAGCCAAATATGTTAGAAACCTAAAGGTACCGACTAAACTCAGGGTATAAAGGCCATTGGCAAAAGCCAAGTGGGTTAGAAACCCGAGAGTAAACCCTGAGGTATAAAACATGGGCAAAAGCCAAATAGGTTAGAAACCCAAAGGTATCGACATTAGTTCTGTTAAAGTTAGATCCCAAGGCCAAAATGGTTTAAACTCATATGAGAATAAAACCAGGCTCAGGAGACTTGATTATGGTCAACGAAAATTGGAAAAACTTCCAATTCATGAATAGTATCGACAAGTTCAAGGTACAAAACCAGTGGCAAGAACCAAGCACTAAGATCCAAAATTGGATCAAAAGCTTTTGGTAGAAGCCCTGTGCGTTAGCAACCTTCCCATTTTTAGCCACTGATATACAATGATCTCGTGGTAACGACAAAGCGACAAGTACTCTCAAAACAAAGATCATTACACAATTATTCGTCTACTGTTTTGAGAGTGGGGGCTATTGTTATGGAGAACGAAAATGACCCGAAACGAGACAAGGAGTTGAAGTCTGATTGGGGAAGACCGGCCAGGGACATAACGGGCCGGCCAAAAGAGTGACCTAACGCCGGGGCAGAGAACGAGGAAAGCGACCAGAGGGAAGCCCACTGAGCCACGAAGGGCTCGGCCCTGACCCGGTGCTCGGCCCCGACCCGGTGCTCGGTCCCGACCCGGGGCTCGGCCCACGGCCCAGCCAGTGATCCCCCGTCTTCGATCGACGATGTCGCCCAGGCCCTGCAACGGTGAATTAGGGTTAGCTACGGAAGATTCTGGAACAACTTCACGCTATAAGTATTGATCCAGCCTTAGAGGTATGGGGGGAAGAGAGTTGACTACATTTACGTTATTCTCTTGCTAACTTAAGCATCGGAGCCCGTGTGACTAGAGTCACATCGGTTTAGTTCTGATTTGATTTTGCAGGTACTAGTCCCGGATCAACAAGTTTGGTGGATGCGAGGTAGTGAACTGAAGGACCGAAATCCACGCATCAACAATATTTTAAAGCTTAAATACTTCATACCAATACTTCCAATTTTGATTACTCTAAAAAAAATCAGTTTTTAAAGTGAATTTTGATTAGCTAATAAGTACCTAAATATTATACATATATATTATATTATATAGATTTTTCAAAGTTACTTTCTCATGGTCTATAACCAATGATCGATAAGTTGTCTTAAATATCTTAGAACTTATTTGGTAATATTTTTCCTTTTTATTTCTAGTTTTACATTTATATTTTCTTGAGAAATATAAGCGTTTCGTAACTGTTTCTATTTTTCTCATTTTTAAGAAACATTTACAAAATTATGTATAAATTTTGGAAACAACAAAACCAAATTTATTTATTATTCTTGTCTCCTATTCTTCTCAAAATATTATTTTATCTTTACTGACTTATAAAATTCATAATAAACACTAAAAAAAATTGAATATATTATACAAATTTTGAATAATTAATTTAAAAATTAAATTTCATACAAAAATATACTTTTTAATTTTATAATTTGGAGAAACAAAAAACGATGATTACCAAACATTTTTCTTTCTTTTTTTTAAATGAAAAAAAAATTCAGAAAAAAAAGCGTTACGAACTAGCCTATAGTTAATCATTAATCCTTACTTATAATGCTGATTTTAAGACTTATTTTTTTTCAAGTTGAAGATCATTTGAAAAAGAAAATGATGAAAATGTTTTATAAGTCCACACAGTAGTCTTAAGTAAAATCAGTTTACTAGTTTACTAGTCTTAAGTAAAAAGATTAGGAAAAAAAAATAAAACAAAAGAACATCCAACATAACTAAAAAGAACCATCAATTAATTAATTAAATTACAAACTTTAAAAACAATCTAATGTCTTTGAATTTAAACTTTTAATTTTTTGTCTATCAATTTTCAACTTCAAAAATATTTAATAAACATCCAACAAATACTTTAAAATTTATAGACATATCAAACACAAAATTAAAAAGTCAAAAATATTTAAAGACTCAAAATCCAATATTATATTTAATAGATCCATGAATTAAAACAAAATCTATTAAACATAATTAAAAATTGGGGAACTTATTCGACATAAAATTAAAAATTGAAGTAATAATTAAACACTTTTCAAATTTGGAAACTTATTCGATACAAATTTGAAAGTTTACGAAGTAATTTAATAAGATGGACCTAATTAATCTCAAATTTATATGAATTAAAATAATTGAAGATTTAATTTAACTCGATTCAAATTTAGGGTTCAACCGATAAAATTAAAAGTTCAGATTAATTAACGATCAAATAAAAATTTATGAATGAATTAGAACAAGAAAGTAATAAAGAGAAAGAGCACATTATTAATTTGGGGGATTAGAAACGAAACGAATCCCGTCTGCGTCTATATACTTTCTCCGGCAGATTCAGTACAACTCTTTACTTTCTATCTAGATGGTAATTTGGGAGTAAACTAAACGGCGACGACAAAATTATTCCAAAAACTGCTCGCGAAAACGCCGATGTTATGTTAATTTCTCCATTTTTCATGATTTGAAGATGATCATGGATGTCTGCCGCCCGCGCGACTTCCTGGATCGAATAATGGACCGATACATTCGCTTCTTTCCATGTCTCTCCGATCCCGGTACGCCTCAAAATCTGAACCCTTTTTGCCCCATTTTTGCTCCCATGGCGGACTTTGGGGAATTCAAATGGGACTAATTGATGCAGATGTTGCTCTTTCCCCCATGTTTTATGCGGTTTTGGTTTGCTGATTTTCGTTGCCTTATCTGAATTTAGTTGAACTTTGGGCCTTCCGTTTTCTGCTGGTTGTTTCATTTCTTGTTGTATCTTTGTGTTTTTCTTGTGGATTTTAATTCTATGGGAAGTGGGTTTCAGCTAGGAGATCTTCGTTGGGGTTAAAAGTTGCATTGGTGATGCTACATCTGGTTTATGCTGGAGTTCTCTTTGCATTCGATGGGAATTTGATAGAAGAAACCAAAATTAAACCATGGTATGTTGTTTCCTCTTGGTTTGAGTCGTCCAAGTTCCTAAAGATTGGGTCAACTTCTACTTTTTCTTCTTGGAACTTCTTTAGAAAATACAGTAGCCGCTAGGTTTATTTTGTGAATTTACGCCAATTAACTACTTGTCATCGTCAAAAGCAAAAATTTTTAACAGTTGATAATTCTGTTAATTCCTTCAAAGAAGAATCGAAACTATGAGTGTGCTTTAGTGTACCTAGACCTTGACTAATATTACAAGGTTATCGTTTTTAATACTCCAATCCGTGACTTCAAAGACATTAGAGTATGCAACAACTTGTCTCGTGGGTTGGCTATTTGCTTGAGCAATGTAAAGTCTCTGAGTTCATTTGTAGCCTTGGACTTTGGTGTATAATGAAATTGACGTGGTATAGAAACTCAGAATAGGCATGCTACTACTTTTATAAGAATTCTTACTTCTGTCTTCTTTTTATAAATGAATATGTAGAGAGTAATAGAATCTTGACGAAGATATTGGAATATCTAGACTTTGGAGAGGCCTTGGGGGACTTTCCTGTAGTTGTTCTTGTTTTGGTTTTAATATCTTCTAGCTAGAGGTAGCATCAACTTCGAGATCATTTTTGTAACTAGTTCAGACTAGCTTCTGTTGATTTTTCTCGTCTTCAAAAAGTTCTAGACACAATTTTTTTCCCTCAATTCTCAGGTACACAGCTTCGTATTTGTTGCTTTTTGTCGCTACCCTTATTCAATACTTCATAACGTCATGTTCATCTCCTGGGTAATGCCATATATCTTGTGTTTCATTGAGATCTATTGTTATATTTAATAAACTATATTCCACTTTGCAGGAAAGTTTGACTACTTTTTCTTCCCATTTTGTTCTCAGCTATGTCCTTGATGCAATGCGGGCTGCTAATGAGAAAAATATTGCTTTTAAAAAGGCATCCAAGTAAGTTTTATCACCTTTTCTGTAGCAAGTATTTAATGCATTTCTTATTCTCTTTATTTACTGAGAGACTAACTAATAATTATGATGTAAATTAAAAATGTCTTAATATATTTGTTTTCTAAATGTTTAAGCAAAGACAACCTGCTTCAAGCAAAAATGCAAGCGTGGTGGTTACCATAGACCGGAACCCTATGGGAAAAAATGTTCAGGGAGTTGACGTAACATCATGGACAAAGATGGTGATGGACATGTACCCCCCTGGAACACCTGTTAGGTATTTTATTAACTTGCTTTGAGAATAAAATTTTTGTTTTTAATCTTATTAAGTGTAATTCCCATTCAATGTTTAGGAAGTTGAATTTGGTAGGCTGTCAGGCTTCCTCATGTTGACTCAAAGCTATATTGTATGTATCATACATAAAGTGGTTATTTGAAGTGTCTGTGTCATGATATTTAATTTATCCTGTTGAATGGACTGAATTGTGCTTAGTTTGAAGTTTTGAACGTGGAGAAGAGGACTACGATTTAGCTGGGCTGTCAGGATTGAAGTACCTTGATAAATAAAGGCTGATTTGGGACATGAATTTTGCAATCAAACATGCTTTCTTAGCTTCATATTTCTCCTTTTTTGTTTATTTTTTATTTTGAGAAACCAAAACCGCACTCCATTTTAATAGCTCTCAATTTGACATCTGTGCAATAATTACTACTTATCTGGGGCTTATGGAAGACAATGAATTAACCACTTTGTACTTGCAAAAAATCTATTCTTTTAATGCCCACAATTTCAATAGAATCTGTGAAAAACATTCACATATGCGTAGTTGAGGAGAATTGCAATTACTACTGCTCACCGTTTTTTCTTTGTTTTGCAGAAGTATGACATGCTCCTATTGTAATGTTGAGCAGGTAGTTTATACCATGTCATATATTATTCAGAATTCTTGTGTGATTTTTTATCATTGTTTCAATCAAGAACCTCGCGTGCCCATTGTCTTGCATTCTTTTGTTAAATAATAGGATGCTTCTTATGAGCTGTTTTGAAAAATCTGTTTAGGGGTTGCTTCAAAAAATAAACTTCCTTATTTCGTTCTTAAAAACTTTTTTTTTTTTTTAGCAACTGTGATTGGGTGGCTAAGAACTCTTTCTAAGAATGCCAGTAATAGGTGAAGGATATTAGGAAAATTAACTCTGTAAAGAATCTTTAGATTATTTGCTCCAATCATCTTTGACTCCAATCATATTTGTGTTATTTCTTGCTCGCCATATTTTGGATGGGTAACGTTATGATAATGATAATACCAGGTAGGTAGTACCACAAGAAATAATTGATATTGAATTGAACTGGAAGGCTGGTGAGTGAAACTTTTTTAGAACTTCCTATTCATTTCAGTTGCGAAGATATGAGGTCTAACGAAGTAGAAAGTGTGTGGTGGTACCGAAACTTGGGCTGGTTATAAAAATGATAAATGAGTAGGCTATTAGTTTTTGTGAATTTTTTAAATGAGTAATTCATTTTGGAAAGCCACTTATTTGCATCAGCTTTGCTACTTTATCATTATTATTATTTTTTTTATAAGAAACAAAGATGTGTATTATCAATCAAGAAACCTGAAAATAGGGGAAGACAACCTAAAGGCGGAGGGTAGAGAGAATCCTCCCCTCAAAACTATCTAATTACAGCTTTCCAGTCTTGCATTATCTAATTTTATTATCTAATTTTAATCTATAACTTCTCTTTCATTAGAACCATTCTTTTTCTTATATATTTGCAGCCTCCACGAACGAAGCATTGCCATGATTGTGATAGATGTGTACTTCAGTTTGATCATCATTGTGTTTGGCTTGGGACATGTATTGGCCAGGGCAATCATTGTCGATTTTGGTGGGTTTACAATTTTGGGATGTCGCAAATAGTCAATTTCGCATAAATTGATTGTTCTGGGTTGTACTCTTGTGTAAATCTGTTATGCATTACTTTAGTTGTTCTGCAAGTATTATGAATTTCACGATGCATTGATATAAAACATCCTTCGTTTAAGTTTAGATTCACTACAGGAGTTGGGTATAATGTTAAAAAGCCTGTCATGGGATAAAAAACTTCATGGGGCATCTACATGAGATGTTGAATTTTTCYACAAGTTTTTTAATCATCGGACGTTAGGATTAGGAGCTGCTCTCCACAATGTTGAATTAAGTGATTTGTCATGAAATCATATCCTTGTTAAGACTTCTCATTACTTTTGTTATCTGACTTATTTTGTGTGGCATGATTTTGCTCATCCTTCAGTCTGATTGTGATGTAAAGATGAAAATTGAAATTGTGGGTGATGATATGTTTTAAGTTGTACAAATTGCTTCAAGTTCTTTGAATTGTAGTATTATTATTTTAGTATTCTTTTTACTTTACTCCTATTTGATTGTTGAACTCTTCAAAGATATTGCCCTAACGAAAGATAGTTTTGCTCACAACTTAGGTGGTATATTTTTGAGGAGACAGCTTTATGCTTGTGGACTGGTATATTGTACATTTCATACCTTAAGGCCAATATAGCGCGGGCATGGTATGTTATCCTTCTGACACTATTAATTCAGTAAAAGATTTTAGTTACCTCGTGTTATGTCATTGTTAATTCCATTATCAATTCACCGACCATAGCAATAGGAAAAGTAAAAGTGGATAGGTTTCATGTGTGCAAGTATCAGGTGTGAATTTTGAGTGTCAAGTTTAATCATATCGAACCTTGAACGAACTTATTGATGCTGAAAAAGGATCCTTGGAACGGTTTATTTTCGTCAGGTGGAAGGATGCCATTGTCGTTGTGCTGCTGATTACTCTATCAGTTGCCTTGATTTTTCTACTACTCTTGCTCCTATTTCATAGGTATTTCTGATTTCTCCATGCTCCTGCAGTCTTGATTCTTTGAATAAAATTGACAAAAAGACCAGTGATATAGTTACGACATCGTTTTTATTTTGCAGCTATCTCATTCTTACGAACCAGACTACGTACGAACTCGTGAGGCGTAGGCGAATCTTTTATTTGAGGTCTGCTCATCTCTTTCATCCTCATGAACAATCTTTTCGACAAAAATATATACAGAAAACCTTCATTCTAATTCTTATTGCACACTTTCCATGCTATGCTTATATATGATCATGTAGTTAGTTATGAGAGGCAGTTTGATTATCATCTGCAGGAGCGTTCCTGAAAGAGTTTACCCCTTCAGCAAAGGAGTCTGCCATAACTTGTACGAATTCTGCTGCGATAGAAGCAACGTCTATAACTTGGAGCCCTTGCCTTCGGCTCAAGTACTCGAAGAGAGATCGAGACCGTACACGTGTTCGGACATGGTGAGATGTAGATGCTGCTGCTGAGTTATTACAGTGTACCATTTGCTTTAACATTCTTTCCATGTTATCACTTCACTAGGTTGTGGTGAATGGTGATGGTTATTGTGGGGGAAGCTTCCATTGAAATTTTAGCTGCAGCATAATTAGGTTAGGTAATCTTGTTTCTACTGGTGTAAAATTGTTTGTGGTGGTGATAAAATAGATGCTTTATGATTATTCGTTTTCATGTTTTTGCCCAATGAACCATATTACATTTCTAACTTTCCTCGTAGAATTTAATTGGTCTGGTTTTTGGCAGGCTTGTTGAGCCAATCGAGCCGAATTCAGTTGAACCAAATTTTTGGTTGGGTTTATTAGATCTCACTCAAATTTTTGGTTGTTAAAAAAATGACATAACAAAGTAAAATAAATAATTATACTGGCTCGATTCAGTTTGCCATAATACTCGTAAGTTGGTCAACTGATATTTTTTACAGTATTTGTTTCGTTTCTCAATGAATATTTAATAGACTTCAAAATTTATTCCACCATCAAGTTACAGAAGAAAGATTCTGTAGACATTACCATCTATATTCCAAATTATAGCATAAAAATTTTTATGCAAATCATTTTAAATAAACTAAGTTAGAAGATGAAGAGAAAGAAGAAAAAGAAGAAGACTTCCTTTGAGAAAATAAATAAATAAAAAATGAGACATCACATAACTACAAAGTTATGTGAAAATTAATTTTTTTTTTTCCGAATCATTTTAAATAAACAAGTAAGAAATATCCAGTCACCTGCTAATTGTCAGGTCATCTTTCCATTTAGGGACCGACTAAAAATGTTTATTTTGAAATTTTAGTACTAAAATAGACATATACTTTAAACTTTAGGGACCCTACTTTCTAAAACTCCTAAGATATCATTTAGCAATTTGTGTAAAATAAAAAACTAATGAACATTTTTTAAAAGGGGTATCAAAATTTAACGACCCTCCTAAATTATCTAAACAAAAAATAAATCCAACGAGGCAGCGGATAGATTGGGCCACGAGCCTGTCAATTGGTGGATCTCTGGAAGCCTGTTTCCTTTCGACGCCGCCATCTCCGTCGGTCGCCGCTGTGATTTGATTCCTCTGTGTTCTTTCTTTTCCAGTTAAATTATAATCAAATTTATTCCCTCCTCGTTAAATTCCATGCATCAACATTAGTAAAGGTTCCAATTTACAAAATATGTGAATTACTACTCAACCATACACGATTTGACAAATAAAATCAAATACCCGTTAAACATAACCCTAAATTACCAATTTAACCTTTTATTTCTTCTCCCTCTTTAGAAATTCTTTCTTTTTATACATTTATTGCTGGTTGGTGGTTCTGGCCTAATTCCATATATTAATTAATAATAATTTTAAGTAGAGAAAAATAATATGTTTGTATGAAGTCTATTCTTGAAAGTGAATGATTTTGAAAAAAAAAATTCATTTTCATTAATTTATTTAGCTCAACAAACTAATTTAACGTTTAAACTTTATAATTGAAATTAAAAATTGGCTATATATCAACCCATAAATTGTATTTAATTTACAAATCTAATCATGAAATTAAGCGTCTAAGAAAATGCTCAAACCTTGAGAAAAAAAAAAGAAATAACATCCAACATAACCAAATAAAAAAAACCATTACTTGTAAAAGGTTAATTACAAGTTTTCTTTAGTTCTACAAGTTTTCAGCACCAGACATTTGTCAAAAAAACAAACAAAAACAAAAAATCTAAACTTTTAAAATTCTCTTGTAGATCTTTGAATCTAAACTTTCAAATTTGTGTATGATTTTTCAAACATTAAAATTTTTTATTTAATAAATCGTTAACTTTCAATATTTGTGCACCTTTTAGAATCTATCCAACTAATTGATCTTTTAGATCTTAAATTAAAAGATCAGGATCTTTGAATGCACAAAATTAATTCTTTGAATTTAAACTACATATAATAAATCTTGGACATAAAATTAGCTTAGGAGACTTATTAGACGTTTTTCAAAGTTTATGAATTTATTAGACACAATCCATAGAGAAATCGAATGTATTAGACACAATCTGAAGAGAAATCGAGACCGAAACAACATGAGATGCAGATGATGCTGCTACTGAGTTTTGTTTTGTTTTTTTTTTTTTAAGTACTGCTACTGAGTTATTACAACCGTACCATTTGCTTTAATAGATCTCACTCAATTATGAAATAGAATAAACAGTTATATTGGCTCTATTCAAATTGAACACAATACTTAGTAACTTGTAAGCTCATCAATTTAATTATCTAAAAAGTATCCAAAAAAATTTGCATTTTTGAACTCATAAACTGATCCTTTTCTACAGTATTTGATTATATAAGATAGTGTAACAGTAACAAATAAGTGTCTTAAACTACTTGTTTATTTTGAATGCAAAAGGCCGAGTAGTTAACATGCACCATTGGCAACATATTCAGACTAATTAAGTTTAAATTTTTTTGTACTTGAGAGCTTCAAAGCGAGCAGCAAGTGTATCGTAATCTGGTAGCTTCGGGTGAACCCGAGACGAGGGTACAGGAGGAGGATTCCGGTCAGGAGGTTGATTAGTAGCCCCTCTAGATTCGTCGTCCATTTGAGTTTCTTCTTCACAATCTGATTCGTCGAACTTTATGTCTGTAGGATTGTAGCTATATCTTCTGTAAGCCTCATCATAATTTGTATTTACATTCCTGGTCTCTTCATTATTCTTCAGAGAGGAGCATCTGCCTAAGCTCTGAGGTGGGATTGTCGTCTCTTCTCCTGCCTTGAACTGATGATTATCCATATTATGAGAGTTGGTTGGGCTAGAATTAGTCGGAAGACCTTCAAATTCGAGACCGAAACCCAAACCACCTCGACCACCTCTGTTTGAGTCTTTGTTTGCCAAATAGGCAGCAGCCTGTGCAGCAGCAATCGCTTGCTTCGCCGCTTTCGCAGCAGCTTCTGCAGCAGAAGCTGTATCTTGAAAGTGCGTATCATCCTCTCGACTGTTCGTTGTTCTACATACGAAGCACAACAACAACCAAAGTTAAACGAATCTGGGCAGCACTGATATTCTTCTCTCAAATGGGTTTAATAGTTGTTATTCCTTACCTTCCAATCTGGGCAATATCTCGAGCAGATTGGTTTGCCATAGGCTTCACAGGTAAGCTGGCAGCACTGACAAAAGTCCGAGGCCCTTCCTGATCGAACGAAAATCGAAAACATCGTTAGCCTAACTTATTTACCATCAAATGATTGGGAGAGAGGAAGAATATACTAACAATAAGTTCTTCAGGAGGCTTTAGCAGCTCTTTCTCAGATTCCGTTGTGTCCCATTCAATCTGGTGCTCCTTGGCAATCTCCTTCATTATTTTGAGCTTCACTTGACCCGACGGAGTTCGAATTGAGAGCTTGTCAATGAGCTAAAAAGAAAACGCAAACAATTCAATACAATTACAATACAGTCATACATACAAAAAGAAGTAGAAAATGTGATTACCAGCCGATTCACTCCACAGTTGGGCCTTAAATCAGTGGCAGCAGAGACAAAATCTTTGCCATATTTCTTCTCAAAAACGTTCCTAAGTGCAGAAAGTTCTGGTATTTCCGAGCACCTCGGAGCGGCAAAAATCAAACTAGCAACCCCTTCTTTTAGATCTGGTGGACATTCTCTGAACCAATTGAGAATAACATCACAACAAAATCCAAAATCCAGCCATTACAAATTTGTTCTTAGAGTGAGGATTCTACTTAAAGTTTTACCTTTGTTTTGCTATTATTGATAGTCTAGCCACTACTAACTCGCAGAAGAGCTCAATAATCTCATTTCCAGCCAAGACATTCTGTTCCCTTATGACATGTTCAACCTGCCAAAAAAGATAGAAAACTTATCTCTCTAATTATTACAAGTTGTGTCGAGTGAAACATTTCTGAAATGAAGAAATGTGGTGAAGGGTTGATGTTATCCATTTAATTGAATGTGCTAGTAGCTAGTTGACTGTATGGCTGAGTAGCATCTAAATGATTTGAGGATGATTTGTAAAATCTAATCAAATTACAAGGACCAAATCAAAGCATTTAAAACTATGAGAACCCAAACAAAATCAAATCTAAACCATAAAGACTAAAAATTGAAACTTCTGAAACTACATAAAACAATACCCGAATACGAGCAGTGGCATCCTGCCCAGACTGGAGAAGGAGAGCAATGTCCCGCCTCATCTGTCTCACCACTGCCTCCCGCTTGTTCCTCAGCAGTTTTATCCTGGCCACCGCCATTTTTGCCGCTGTCTTGCTGTCAAAACACCAAATTAAACAACTCCTCTTACAAGGGGCAAAAACAGAGGGAAAAAAAATGATCGAAACCCATTTCTCAGAAACTTCTCATCATTACATACAGCAACAGCTCCAAATTTACCTTAAATTTATCAGCATTTAAAGAAAATGGATCTATCAGAGCAGCAAGAAAAAGAAGTAAACATTACCATTTGGAGGAGTTGAAGTCGCGGCGGAGGAGGGCGATGAAGAGCTTGACGATCTTGAGGGAACGAGCGGCGGCCTCCGTGGCGGCGGCGGTCATGGCCGGACCGTGAGGGGGCAGAAAGAGGAAGAGCGGAGTGAGGGAGTGCGAAACGGCGCGTGGGAGAGAAAAGTGAGAGCGGACCGTAGGGCTAATAAAAGGAAAGAGGGGCGTGGGCCCCACTGTCACGCCGACCATTACAGAGCGTTGAATTTGCAAGAAAGAGTTTTAGATATAGCCGTTGGAGAGGAGAGAATTTTGAGGAGTGGGAAGAAGAAGAATCCGATGTAGCTGCTTAGCTGGCTTTAACGGGAATGAGAGTGTTACATGTGGCTAACGTAACTGCCACGTTGGCGATGGTGTCATATGGGAAACGTTATGTTTTGACCAAGTCAATATTTTTAATTTAATGTGTCATTTTCTTAACAAAAAGGAAAAATAAATTCTCCTAAAGTATTAAATAAATTTGATGTTATTTTGTACACCTATAATAATGTCAAATAAATCTGCCTCCCTCCAACAAAATTTTTCTTTCAAAATATAAAGAATATAAGATGAGAAATTCAATCTTTGACCGAAAAAAATGTAATTTGTGGCTGATGCACTGACAGTATTTTAAAGCATTTAGATTTCTTTAAGGTATAATTTTTTTTTTATTCTATTTAAGAGTGGTATTTGAATGAATAAAAAATCAGTAAGGAAATGCAGAGAGATGATAAGCAAAAAGAGATTGAGAAATTAGCAAAGAGAAATGGAAGGTTGAGTTTTGAAAAGCACTTTTAAATCCATTTTGGATTTTAAAGGAAGTGATTCTAAATCATAGATAGACAAACATTATATAATAATATAATCATATGAAAAGCCAAGAACAGAGTTCAAGAATATACAGAGCCGATTATAACATCAACGGATTTCATGGGAGTGGATCAATTTACTCAGAAATCCATCAATTTAGCATCGCCGGATTTCATTGGGAAATCTCAATGCGATCAAATTCACCGAGAAATTATATTCAGGAGGGAAACTCTGGTGTGAATCAGTTCCCGGAACAATCCCTCTGTTCCACGTTCGACTCTTTCAATGCTCGAATCCAACCCCATCAATCTCTCCCGAACAACGGATTGGATCTTCTCCTTCGCTTCTGCATCTGTGCTCGACGATCTGAGCTGTAGGCCGTCGAGCGCCGCATCCAAATTCTCCAGCTCGTTCATTCTGTCCGTTTGATTGTTGCGGGTAATCGCTCCCTTGTGGACGAGTCTTGACACCAATGTCCATCGGCTCGGTTTCGGTCTCCAGTGGACCGGCACGGCCAGGAAGGATAACAGAGAGTTGAAGATGGAGGTGGTGACGGAGCTCGCTTCCCTGAGCACTCTGATCACCGCCGCCGTGACCTCGTTTTCTAATTGAAGAGGAGGAAACGCACCGGCGGTGTTAATATCCATTTCTCTGAGCGATGCGAACGATTTCTTCAAGCTTTCGTGTTTGATCCTCTTTCTGGAGCAGTTATATGCAGCGATGGTGTTCTCGACGCCGGAATCTTCGTATTTGCTTCGCCGGATCGCGGATTGGAGCTCTCGAATGCTCTCTTTCATCACTAATACGGCGTCTCTCGTGTTGTCGCAGATATCCAATAACCTAACGGAGCCATCCACCAATTCCTGCACCCAAATTTCGCGGCGGTGCGAGGCTAGGGCTTGCTGGGCCAGCGGCAGGTTCAGAACCTCGTTTATGAATCTGTAGAGCTCCACCAGGCCGGAGAGACCGCTGCAAATCGCTTCAAAGCTTGACAAAGACGAAGCATCCGAGGATTTAAGCTTGGCTAGCTGTTGCTCAACCCGAATCGTGGATGGATGCGACCGAGCAGGTAAGCTTATGCATCTCACTCTGTAACGACTCCAAGGTGTTTGAGAAAATGCAACCATGGCTATTTCTGTTGTTTTATGTTGTGGAAAGGTCCAATGGGTAAAGTTATAGATGAAATCCGCCATTTCCCATCACAAATTTATATAGGAAGGGAGAACTTTTTTGGGATTTGGGTGTACACATTGAGCATGTGAAGGCAGACCAAGGATTAATCAATGGCGTGGGTTATGTAGTCACATCTTTTGCCGGCTAAAAAGTAATATTAAATTGGTGTATCCTTCGGTCTCCATATTTAATGGAACTAGCATTTTGTTTTTATCTGGTTGCGGTATAACGATAAGTGGCATGTCATCTCCTCATTTACATCCCCCGTAGCTCCACCGCCACCACCGCCAACTCACGTTTACCCATGATTGACACTTTGAAAGTTGAAAGTACATTGGCGTTGGGAATTGGCACCCATTAAACAAAACCTGGCCCTCCCCCGTGGACATGATTTTGTTTAACAATGGCAGTCTTTTCTCCTTCCTTCTTTTTTTTAATTGTTTCTCACGTTTTCAAGAACTTTTAGGCTGTTTCAAGTGAGAAAAAGATTCATCAAAGATCATGTAAAGTTGACCTTGAAATAGCTGTCAAGCTTCTGGAAGTTCTTGGATAATTAGACTTCAGGAGATATTGTTGAGATTCTGAGTTCTTGTAAATGGGTAAATTTTGGTGGCGAAATGGTCAAGACTGTAAATCTTTGCAGGATTGAGAGGGACTGGGGGTGGAGCCCAAATGAGGTTGCTTGGCTGGCTTCTGTAAAGGAGTAGAAGCATATGAGTTAGCAGTCAAATCCTCTTGCAAATGGCAGCTGGTGATCAAAGACAACTTATCATGCAAATGATTGGAGATAAGAGGAGAGAATTTGGTGGCTAGGCTAGTCATGGGAGGGCTCTACAATTGGGTTATTTCAACTAGTAGTTGAATATGGAAATGTCTATCAGATTAGAAAACTAGAGAAGGGATGGATTCAAATTTAGTCCTTCAGTCACACCATTCGTGTTAATTAAGAATGTTATATTTCTACTTTGCTAGAAATTTATTCACGTCTCGTGGAAGCTCAAGTAATCAAATGAGGCTATATTCTTGCATAAATATCCATATTTGGACAAATATTCTTCCTTCTTTTTTATTTTTTATTTTTATTTCCTTTCCATGAAGACTCCATTTGATTACACAAAAGTAGATATTTCCTGAATCTTGTAGGAAAGCTGCTTTTTGATAGGGTTAAAATTTCAATTGCAGCATCAACGGAACTAAAGTTCAGAATAGAAGAGGACTAAGAGTATTGTAAAGTGAGGATTTTAACAATCTTCTTGGCCGGTATCAAGAAATTGACCTAGGAAGATTGGATAGAATGGAGCCACATGGCTGGGGAAGATGAGGAATCTGGTTGGGTTAGATAAGCCACAAGGCCCATCCCAATTAGTTGCCAATTTGCCATCTTGACAAGGAGAGCCCATTGGTAGAATGAGTTAATAGGCTGGCTGGGCTTTGATTCTCTTTCTTAGAGGAAGTGAACCAACCCTTCACTCTTTCACTTGATTATTGGAGTAGTTTGGTCAATAGTAAAATATTATCTTAGGGTAGATTTTTTTCTCTCTCGGGCGTAAAGATGCTTTAACCATTAGCTAGCTATATTTATGAACCTGAGTAGAGATGATCTAATCATTTACTAGCTACATTTATGTTGATAGATTTTTTAGTTCGATAGAGACAACTCAACTGATAAAGACTAATTGGTTTTGGTATCTTAAATTTAAATTCTCTCAACTTGCAGGTTAAATTCTCTCATCTTGCAGGTTAGGAGAAATAGCTATTTGGAAAAGAAAAAGGGGTATTTGAAAAGGTAAAGAATTGTCGTAAACAACCTTATAAGGTAGGTATTATCCACCAATTTTCAACCTTTCCAACATTGGTACCTAGCCTAATCTAAGATAACATGATGTGCTGAGTATCCCCAATCCCTCAAATTAAACTCGTAGATTAGATTAGATTTAGATGTGATTTAATATGATATCAGGAAAGTATTGAGTTAAAATCTATCTCAAGTTATACACAAGAAGGAAGTGATCAAACAAGCAAGACATTTCATCATTAAAACACTAAACTATCATTCTTGTTATTCGATCAAGAACTCATAGCGCACACAATCGTATTATGGACAAGTTACATATCCCAATGGCGGATCCCTAAAAGTTGGATGCCTTTGCAGGATTCAGGGAGCTCAAAATTGTCTATGGCAAAATCCAATTCTATTGCGAGATTATGTTCAAGAGAGAGGCTCTTGTTCTAATCAATCGCCTGAAAACACCGTCCAGGCCGCTCTCAATGTCTTGGGCCGCCATTTCCAATCCCTCCAATCTTCTTTGAGCAATCTGCAACTTCTCAATCTCCACCACTTCCTCCACAGACCTCAGAGCCGCATCCACATTCTCAAATTCGTTCATGCCGCTGTTTAATTCGCAGGCAATCGCCCCCTTATGCACCCACTTCGAAACCAGCGACCACCCTCGGGCTTCCGGCTTCATTAATGGCGTCAAGTACAAGAATACAGATTCGAAGATGGAGCTGTTGGTCGAACAAGCTTGTCTCAGCGCCCCAATCACAGAACTCAGGTGATGGTCTAAATTCACCAGTGGGGTTAATGAGTTGAGTTTCTCATCCATTTTCCTCATTGATGTTATTAACTTTTTAGCTTCTTTCTTCATCTTTTTCCTGAAGCAGGTGTAAGCAGCGACGGCGGTTTGAACGGCAGAGTCTCCTTTTCTCCGGCGGACGGCCGAGAAAAGAGCCCCGACGTGTACTTGGGTTTCCAATGTCATTTCCTTTGCCAAGCTGCAAATATCCAAAAGCTTCATAGAGCCATCCAGCAACTCGTCCACCAACTGTCTGTTTTCTGAACGAGCCAAAACTTGCTGGGTCGACCCCATTTTGAGAAGCTCATCAATGGAATCATACAATTCCTGTAATCCCAAAAGAGCACCACAAACCGAAGAAGAATAAGAAGAAGAAGAAGACTCCCACTTCTTCATCTTTCTCAACTCCTCCTCGACTTTGACTGTACTCGGATGCGATCTAGAAGGCAAACTGATGGACCTGGCATGGTACTTGGTAGCCATTATTGACACCCTTTTTCTCCACCTTTAAGTTTCTCAACTCCTGTTGCAGGTTCTGGAGGGCTCCTTCAGGCAGTGCAAATATATAAATAGGGAGCAGAAACAGAGGCGTCAAATGGGTGGGGGAGGCAATTGCTGATTAGGGTGTCACATGTTTGGGCAGCATTGAAATTGGGGCAATGATTTTGGGGAATTGGGGTATTAGTTTAGTGGGAAAAGGGGGTGTCGTTTTGTGGATGGAAGGTGTTTGTTAAAATGCGGGAGAGAAGAGTCATCAGTGGAGGGAGATTCTGGTGCCGCCACATAAACATACCACACATTACCAACCCTTTTTTTTTTACAAGTTTAAAATAAAGGCGAGCTGCACACCTACCGAGGCCAATGCCTAGCTGTGCTGTCTCTATATGCGACCATAATTGGGAGCAAAGTTAGGCTCTTCCTTTTTATTTTCTCTCCTTTTCATTCTAAAAGAAATCTTGTTCTTGTTCATCAAATTTTGACTAATTATCTTTATTATGATTCTCACATTTCAAGTGTTTCTTCTTTGTCTCGTGGGTGAAATGTGATAGAGGCAGATAATGAAATTAATTTTACATCGAAGTTTTTCTCTCTTTTTTTAATCTTGACATTATTCTACTGTTAATTTTCATTCTATTTACTGTTAACACGACGACAATGATTAAAATTGTCTTTTTAAAAAACATAACTAAAATTGTCAATTCTTGTTAAGCCTATAGGTTAAACTAAAATAAACCAAACAAGACACTAATATATTACTCTGTTTGAAATTGATATATATAGCTCTAAAAACACATATTTACGTAGAGATTTTTAGAAATTAAAATAAAGTATGAAATCAATATATGATATGATTAAAAAGAATTTTAATTTTTTTGAAAGGAAGAATGAGGTAATGAGAATCTTAGGATAATGACAAAGGAGATTTATATATATATATATATGAAAATGGGATAGGGTGTGTGGTGGCATTGGCAGTGACCTCAAAGAAGTTGAGCCAGGCGTCAGCATTTCCAATTATCAACGTTACCCCCTTTCCCTTTTTATTTATTTAGTTTATGTGCCACTCCAACGTGCATGAGGGGAAATGGGATAATCTTCTACATTTTTATTTTGTTTATAATCATAAATAAATTTTCAATTATAATGCATACCCTTCCTTGCAGTTGAGATATATGATTAGGGCTACTTTTTTATCTTTCCATTTTCACTTGGTTAAAACGGTTAAGGCAGGATCTAGATGAGGTGAAAGGTAGACGAGAAACTTTTATTGATGTAGTACTCGACCATATGCACTATAAAGTTTAAGTCAGTACTTAGTTTGAGATGGTATCACAAGTCGAGCTTAAGTTTAGGTAAGTTTAGGTTGTTAAACGAATTTTAGGTTAGTAAGAGGTAACTTTGTTTGGTCGATTCTAATCTCGGCCTGTTCAAGTCGAATCTCTTTCTGGTCGAGAGGGCCACATCACAAGCTAAGATTCCAATCTTAACAAAARCCATTAAACGATATGAAAATTAGTAAATATATTAGAAAAATCCACGTCAAGGTTATTGGAGATAGAGATAGAGACGTGTAAATAGGTACTAAAAATTTTAAATATTTAGGTCGGATGGAGATTGGGATGAATTGAAAACATAGAAATGTTTAAAGATTGTTTCATGAATTTTCAAAATAATGATATATTTAGTTTTTGTACTTTTAAACTTTTATAATAAATCTCTTAATTTTTAAGAATATTTAGTCTACTGACCATTCAACTTTCTTGTTTAATAAAAATCAACCGTTTATGCTCCTAAACATTTGAGTCCGTATAAGAAGTAGCCATCACATGTGTTTTTAAAGTATACTCAATTGTGTTACATGAGAGAGTCAAACAAAATGAGGAAACCTAACGAAAATATTTTCTATTGACAAATGACCCAACACTTCTAAAGAGTTAAATTACGTAATCATATTAGGAACTTAAACTTTAAAAGTTAGTTTGGTTGCAGTTGGAAAGGAGGAGACACGTGTCCTGTAAGTAGAGGACGCGTGGCAGAAAGAGTCGCAATTATGGGACTTTGAGCACCATATAAATGACACTATAACAGTCCCATTGGATAAGGACACGTGTTACTTTCACGAAATGTAGCGTAACAGACGGGTAGATGAGATGGTAGTAGTTCCAAGTGCTGTTCATCCGAAGAGTATATGATTTGAAAGGAGGACTAGATCCAACGAAAATGGGCATTCCAAAATTTTTAATGTTCTTCAAGACACGTGTCTCTTTTGTATTGATTGTGGCATGAAAAGGTTTCAAAGTTCTATTAATTTTGTGGATAAATGTAGAAAAGAAAAAGAAAAAGAAAAAGGCAAAAGGGATAACTTTAAACTTTAAATTTAACATTGGCTTTATACAATTAAGGTGAATCAATATTTTATTTTATTTCTGCCCAGGGATCCAGGTTTTAAATGTCGATATCGATGTAAATATTAGAGTTTCAATTTCGATGTCGATGGATATTTTTGTAAAAGTTAGAAAAATTAAAAAAATCGTAAAAAAAATATTTAAATTAACAAATAAATATTTTTCTTTTCTTAAATTAGTAAAAAATAATTAATATTAATATTATATATATACATATATATATATATATATATATTAGTGGCATTTTGTTGATATCTTTTATATTGTGTCGATTTTATTGTACTACGATGGAAAAATCGATTCACCTCTCATGTCGGTGTCAAACACATGAAAACATGGATATGTCCATGGAAATTGAAAAGGGTGTATCAATTTTTACTACAATTTTTCAGTTTAATGAATTTAGTATTTATAGGATTGATAATGGAGTGGGATGGGAACGAGGATACTTTCTCATCCCGTCCCGCACGGATTTTTAGTACAATTTTTTATCTTAAACTTAAATAAGCATTGTAATTTTCACTCTTTGATATTTCTATTTAAAGAATCGTTAGGAAAAGTATTCTCATGCGTGTTTAATTAATTATAAAATATATATTTGGTATGAAATTGATGAAATTCTAATGCTAAAGTTAGATTTTTGTTGAAATTTATCCGTTTGAAAAAATCTATTAATCGATTGATTTTGTGTATTGATTGAGATTAATTTTTGTACAAGTATGATTCTTCATTAAAATTAGTGAGTTTCAAGAAGATTTTATCTATATTTTTTTAATTAAAATTAGTGGATAAATTTACTAGAAATTAGACTAAAGGTAAGACTTGTCACACGTATCTAAGTCTAGAGTTTAATTTGATTAAATAAAAAATTTGAAGTGAAAATTGCACCTAGCAAAATTCAGAGTTAAAAATTAATTTTTCCTCTAAAATTAATATCTCATAAATGGATTTAATAAATAAAAACAATTAACCTAACGAGACACTCAAAATTAAGCTATATAAATGTCCAAATTCAACCAAAAAAAGAATATATATATATATATATATATATAATATAGCTTCAAAATTAAGAGTGCAAATAAGCTTTCAAACACGATAAAAGTACGTAAACCCAACTAAAAGCATCCAACACGATTAATCCTAACAAAAATAATCTCAAATCCATCTAACTTCATATATAATATTTTTTAGTGTTGCTTTATAGGCTTTATTCATAGGAATTTGGATTAATTAATCAAAATTTTTACTTTTAATTTATAACCACTAAAAATTTAAATTATGATAACTTTAATAATTTAACATATTTTTATCCTTCCTTGGGACCTCCACATGTAAGTCTAAATATTTAATTTAATTTACCACAGCTTTATCACTAGAATATGAAATGAGGCCAACATTAGCTCATATATTTCTAATCAAAAATTGCATTCTAAACTTGTCGTATACTATATTGTAAAAAGTTTTATTAAGGGATAATTAATTACTTATTTCCGCTCACGATAGAAAAAAAATAAAAAATCTTAGAGTAACTTCCGATTGTGTAACATCAAAGCAACTTATTCTTTTAAGGTGTTATAAAAAATTATTTTATAATATTTGAAGGGGTTAAATCTTATTTTAGTTTCCAAGTTTAGTTATTATGTTGAAAAGTTTTCTTTTTAGTGGTAGGTTTGATCTGTGCTATTAAAATTTTCATATTGTTTTAAACTTAATCTAAAATTACGTAGTACCGTGTAGGTTTAAAAATTATAAAACCTTTGATAATATATATCAAAATAAGAGTTCGAGAACTTTCAACTAAAATTAAGAGTTTTCTACGAAAGAATGTAGAATTATCTCATCTAAGATAAGAGATGGTCATTACAAAGTGACAAAAATGTACAAGACTTTTGAATGTCTTTAATTAGTTGTTCAATGAGCTAACATGTTGAGAAAACACACTCTATGTTTAACCAAACATCTGAACATGCAATCCAATCCACCCTCAATTCCTTCAAAACTTGCAGCTAATGTTCCAAGCCTTCTCTGTGCCATTTGAACTTCAGCTTTGTTACCACTGCCGCTGTTGCCTCTCGTGTGGCCAAGGAGCGAACGAAGAGCGACATCCACGCTCTCCAACTCGTTTTCCATCTTCTGTCCCTTCCCTGATCCTGACCTGATTGTTGGCATCAACTGTGAGACCAACGACCACCCGCTAGCCCTCACCTTTGCCACGGGTGCCGATAGGAGTGCCAAAAGCTCGCTAAAGATGGAAATGCTGATGGTTCTTGCTTCTCTCAACAGTCTGATCAGAGGCAACAAATCATGATTTGGTAGATCCAATATAGGGAAGCTTGCTCTATCATTCTCCATTCGTTTCAGTGCGCCGAGGCAGCTTCCAATGTCTTTCCTTGCCTTCCTTCGGAAGCTGAAGTACGCACGAACATGGCTTTCGATGCTTGAATCTGCACCCTTCCGACGTAAAGCTGACTGAAGGACTTGTATACTTTGTTTCATCATAAGGATTACGTCCCTGGCAGAGCTGCAAGAGTCTATCAATACAACGGACTCATTTAAAGCCTCTTCCACAAGCTTCCCCTCCTTATAGTGAACAAGAGCCTGCTGTGTGGAAGAGGACTGAAAAAGCTCTCCAACAGAGTTGTACAACTCTGCCAGCCCAACCAAGGCAGCTTGAATCGCCTCGAGCCTGAATGTAGCCACTTTGGCATTGAAAGACGAAACTTGAAAGGATTTCAGACTTTGCAGCAATGGTTCTGGCTCGAGCTCCACCCTCGTTGGCAGGCTAACAGACCTAATGGGCTGGTGGGCACCGGTGAATATTGACGAGATCGCCATCTTTGGTTTGTAAATTGCTGAATAATCTCACAAGAGAAGTGAATGGTTTGAGCAAAAACCAAACCAAATTTTCAGCCAATTTATATGGAAAAACAGAAGCTAACAATGTCTCTGTGCATGCATGTCAAAATCACAGCCTTGCGAACATAGCCTCAGCTCTCTCTCTCTGATTCTCCTGTAACAGTTTCAGCCTACACTCTGAGCATCTAAGTCAAATTTTTTAATCATATGCTCCACCGATTGGGCAACATCAACCTCTGACAACAATAAACAGTAATATAATATTGGACATGTTGGCATAGTTGCAGGTCCATAATGATACCAATGCCGCCCTGCCTCCCCAATAATTGGGGTCTCACCATCTAGGCCTAAACCCCCTACATAATTTAAGATTAATCATATGACTAATCATGTGGGGGAGGAAGAGAATCAGCTTATTTCAAAGCTAAATATTCCCGACCCATGTTTTGTCTCCATCCATCGAGAGGAATGGATGTAGATAAAAAGTGACTGGCCACCCCTTTTAAAATGGGGGGTTTTGTTAATGATTATAGCCATGAATCTAGGCGTACAATGAGAAAACATTGCTACTCCCATAGCCTAGATTGAATTGGCAGTGTTTACATTCTAATGCAGCAGCAGCAGACAGAGGGCGGGGCATGCGGCAGAGATAATGACTGAGAGAAAAAGAACCAAGGGAAAAAAGTTTAACGAAATCCACAATAATTCACATTAATCAGTCACTCAGAACATATTGCTCTGTCTAACACAACTGATAACACCATCATTCTCAGTTTGAAGGCATTAAATGACTTTTAAAGGATAAACTGGGTGTGAGTTTTTAAGTTGATGGATTGAACAAGGGAAGAGAGAAAGCAAAACAAACCACATGGTTAGAACAAGTGAGGGAAAACAGTGAGGCCCCGGCCCTGAATGGACGCCATGAGGGAGACAGGTGAAGAGGGTTCAGTCAGGCATTTTGTCGAACATGTGGAGGGAGCAGAGGATGGAGGAGCAAAAACAGAGAAGACACTTTACCGCAATGCATGGGTATGAGGAGGTGCATGAATGCAATGAAATCCATTGCCTCCATGGATAAGAGAAACGAGAGAAGAAGAAAAAAAATTCGTTTTCGGAAATTCCAAGCGTCCACTGGACCTGGAGTGGCATTTTTGGATGAGCAGAAATTCGTCTGCAATATCGGTACGTATTATGTATTAATACATATTTGATGAATTCTGTTTTTTTATTGAATAAGAAATCTAGTAAAATTCATATATGCATTTAAATGATGTAAATAAAAAATAAATAGAAACAAATTTCATTTATTACTTATTGGTATTTAAATAGGGATGACAATGGGATGGAATGAAATGGAGTTAGGATGTCTAGATATGTGTTGAGATTCTAACGAGAAAATTTACCTGTTTGTATTTATTAAAATTATTTAATTTAAATGAGAAATTAACTAAATATTAAAAACACATAAAATTACTTATATTTATTAAAAACAAATAACAATTTTATGAATTTGAGATATATACTATACTTCTATTAATTTGAGATATAAAGATAATGATTATGTTATATGAGTATTGTAATTTGGGTGATGAGATAAATAATGTATTTTCCAACCTCCCTAGTAAAATCAAATATGCCAACATGAATATGGCTCGTTTCGCATGTACTCCTTTTTAGAGTCAGGAAGTTCGATGCCCATATCCCTAAATTGTTGTACAAAAAAAATAATAATAAAATCGAATATTCCTCATCTCAACAATTTTTTATTTTATTTTTTAATATAACAACATAGGAATACAAGGAAGGGGCTAAGTCTTGAAAATAATAGTGACATCAATCATTCTCAATGTGGTAACAACTTCTCAAATCATAGATTGTTAGGTTTAAGAGGTCAAGTAGGTTGAAATTAGGGTAGTGTTAAATTGCCTAAATCAAAATCGAAAGAGAAAGATAGGACAAACGACATACTGATAACATTAGAGCGAAGATTTGAATCCCCAACCTTTTGATCGAGAATATATATCTTAATCAATTAAGCTATACTTAAGTCAACTCATTGATAGTATAAATAAATGAGGYGAGGAATGGGCATGTGGGCAAATTCCTCATGAAATCTTGCAGCCACAAGATTTGGTCAACCATCCAAGATTTCATCTAAACGTACGGMTCATTTGAGAGAGACAAACGTACAGATGTACCAAAAATGATGATCCTTTCACATTACAAACCTAAAAATTTAACACCTTCCAATGCCTCTTTGCCTCCCTATGATTAATTATTCAGACTAATTCCTTTTTTTCTATTTATGAACCCATATGGCTTGGTTTTGCAATGTGGGTTCTCAACACTAAAGCCTGGCAATGTATGACTGTCTCCCAATTCCAAAAACAATCCACATGAATCAATTCCCTTTGACCATTCACTATTATTATACAAATGGAAAATAGCTCATCAAATTGACCAAGAATCACCAAGAATCTAGAGCTTGCTGTTTTGTTTGTGATCTGTTAAAATTAAGCACGATAACCCTTCATTTCACAGTTCTCACCAACAGTTTCTAAAAATTCTTTTACTCAACAATCTACCAAACAATGTCAGGCTATGTCTGATCAGGATATTTTAGCTTCAGATTTCAATTTTTGGCAGTTAAATTTCAAGATCCTGTTACCTTACCAACCAAAATATAATCACAATAAGCTGTACAGCCTTGTCCATGATCTTTCTTGCTTCATAAGAATACTTTATCCGCCGCTAAGCTAAGCTGTATTATAGAAGAACAAAGTAAAATAAGTGTTGCGAATTACAAAATAACCATGAATTAAATCAATCAAATATGTGATAGAGAATCATTATATAGCTTCTCAGCCCAATTATTTCTGAAATACATTATTAAAAAACAAAAGATTCTATACAATCAGCAGAACTTCATATAAAAGATCAATGGTGGGGTCTATTGTTGGATGATTCCAATTCCAAAATTGCAACATGCAGTAGGAAGGTCTGCATCTAGGTTGTTGTAGGTTTTACCTTATCAACGATAAGACTTTCCAAATTGGGTCCATACTCCTCTGCCAATGCTTGAGCCGGGATAATCAAACAAGGAACCTCTGCACAGTCTGGTTAAGGTTGCATAATGCGATGCTTTGCTGAACAAAGTTTTCGCTGGACCACTTTTACATTGGCCAACCAAACGTTGGTCGAAGTTGATCAAAACCTAGACCACAGAAACTAGGAACGTGAGATTTTGTGGCTACTAATAAAAATAATGACAAATTTAAGTTCAGACTTCAACAGGGGCTGGTAGGGGAAGTGGGAGGGTAAGGAACTAGCAATAGATCACCTCCGAAAATGCCAAATCCTTGATTCTAATTCAACACAAGATTATTATCTTTAGCCACTATTTTATAGCACACTAGAAGACTTGAAATGTGACTGGATTAATTTAGGCTATAACATCAAGAACGCAATGTATGTTTATCCAATCCAAGAATACTTCTCTACACCATTATCCCATAAAAATTTTATAGGAAACTAAAACACAATCAACAATTTCGTTTTCATTCAGGAAAAATAAAAAGAGGCTGTATCATAACATGGACTTCGATCTGCAAATTTTCACATCCAAGAAAAGTAAAGACAATGGCAGGCAATAATCCTGAAATCTTCAGACGATACGAAACTTTTACCAGTTAGATAGCATGGCCTTGCTCCCTCACTTTCTTTAGAGACTTGAGTGTACTCTCTAATGTTGAATACGCAGCAACGTCAGTCATACTCTTACTCTCAACTGCATAATCAAATACTTCATATGCCTCGGCAATTCTATCGCTCCTACAAAGCGCCCTCACAAGAGTAGCATAGGAAGCTGTTTCAAGCTTCATACCACCCGATTTCATCAAACCATACAATTCAATCCCTCTATCCAAGAGCCTAGACTTTGCCAATCCGTGGAGCAATGTATTATAYGTGCACGAATTGGGGCTGCACCCCTTTGCCTCCATCACCTCGAGCAACGACAATGCTCCCAAAGCATCACCCTCCCGACACATTCCATTCATCAATGAAGTGTAAGTAACTGCATCAGGGAAATGACCCATCTCCGCCATGATGTCCAAAAACTTTCGGGCTTCCTTAACTCGCCCTGATTTTGATAACCCAAAAATCAACGTATTAAAAGTTACAACATCAGGCTCCAATCCCTCCTCCTTCATTTTCTTATAGACTCCAATTGCCTCACTGCCCCTGCCAAGCATACAATAACCCTTCATAATTGTGTTATAAACAAAGCAATCCGGCTTAAAACCCTCCTCCCCCAGCACACTTATCAACCGTGTCGCCTCGCGGAGATTCTTGCCATTACATACATTATCAATCAAGATTGTATAAGTAACGAGATCGGGCTTTGAACCAAAACTACTTCGCATTTCATCAATAAAACCATAGACTGTGGACAGAGCTCTGGATTTGCAAAGTTGCTTAACGAGATGATTGTATGTAAAAGAATCGGGAGGGGATTGTTTTCGCGATAATTCCTTAACCAATTCTACTGCTTCATCAATCAGACCTGCCGAGCAAAGCGAGCGGACGGCAATATCTGTGGTTACCTTGTCAGGATTGAAGCCATTGGAGACCATGAAATTGAGGATTTGCTGAACCGAGGCAAGAGAGGAACCGGAACCATTTCCGGACGTAGAGAGTAATACGTGGAAGGTCGATCGATCGGGGGAGAATGAAGGCTGAACTTTGGACATGTAGCGGAGGAAAGAGATGGAGTCATTGAGCGTGGCGATTGAAGCGTAAGACTGAAGGAGAGAGTTATAGAATCGAAGATCAAGTGGAGCTCTTGTGGTGGCGATGAATGAGCTGTAGAGCTTCTTGGCATCTGCGAGACTGGAAGATTTGAAGAGCGTCGCAGTTTTAGGCTTTTCCAGGGGGCCGGAGCTCTGCGCCGATTGGATTTTCCGGGAAGGTTTGGGAGGTAATTTCTTGGATAATGACCGGGGCTCGCCGGACAAGAGCGGCGGTGCCGCCGCCAGAGGTTGAGGCGGTTTGTTCAAGATCGTCGTCGAGATTGCTGACCGAAATGATGGCGATAATTTCCCCATCTTCAAAATTCTTCTGGAGGGTTTTTCCGATATTAGGGTTTTTGCAGAATTTGAGATATGCGTGGGAAGGTACATGGGCTGGGCTTCGGCCCAACCAGAAGAAGGCCCGCCCTTGTTTGGACCCAAAGAAGGGAAAATTTTCCATTATTATTATTAAAATTTTCCGGGAAAAGAGGGAATAGGACATCCAACCTCCAACCCGACCTTAAGCAAAAAAAAAAGAAAAAAGGTATCTTAACGGTTCAGCTATGCTTATACGAAATTTCCAGTATTATTAAACCTTTGCCAATGTATTTTTGTTCCTGATTTCTTTTATAAAAATTAATCAATGATTACGGGTGAGATATTTGAAGGATAAAAAAATTTTAATTGTCTACGTAAATTTGATAATTCTATAATTTAGTAAAAGATGAGTTCTTAGGAAAAAAAAGTATTATGTGTTTTTGAAGAAAATTAAATATCCATTCAATCTTTTATTGCAAGCTAATCTCTATTGCATAATTTAGACCTTACATATACCATAATTCATATTTGTTTCACAGCATAGAAAGTAATTTTATTGCATGTTACAAGGGATGTTTAGGCAAAAGTATTTGATTGTTGCCATTTTGAAAAAATAAACAAAATTCCGTGATTGGTACTTTGGCACCTTCCCTATTTTCAATTTTTTTTTATGGCAGTAGATTCAAAACTTCTTTATTATTACATCATCTCAATTTTTACTCATCTTAGTTATAGACATTTAAAAAATTACTATTTTGATCAATTAATTTCTTTCTTCATAGTTTTAGCATCACAATCCATTTACAAAATTTATTAAAATGTATGTATAAATTTCTATGAAATTATTTTCAATGTGTATATAATTTATGTTGAAATTTGGTAGATAAAGATCAAATTGGTCACTTTTTAAACTACAAAACTAAAATAAACGTTTTGTAAGCACAATGATTATAATGAACTAAGGTTAAAACTACGTAAATCAAAATGAATATTTTAAAGTACGTAGAGCATTCCATCAAACAAAACAAAAAGTACGTAGAGCAAAATAAAGAAAAGTGAAAATACTTGGGACGAAAATATTTTAGTATTTGTGTTAAGGAATTGAATATCTCTTCAATCTTTTATTGCAAGTTACATGTCTATTACATAATTTAGACATTACACATACCATAATTCATATTGGTCTTTAACGATATGGGAAACACATTTTATTGCTTATGGAGGAAATGTTTAGGCAAAAGGCCTTTGATTGTTGCAATCTAAGTTGTTGCCATAGCCGATACGCAATATGTCGCAATATCTTTTGAAAAATCCAATTCTGTCGGCAACTCTACTATCAGGACCGCGCCCACATTCAAGTCCACCGTTAATGATGTTGGTGATAACACCATAGCCAGGAACCCTTCCTGCAGCACTATCGGCACCTGACGGCTGCCACTTGCCGATGATAACATCGTGACTTGATGGTTTGTTTCCTTGTGGTGTCATCCAAAACCAGATGGCTGTTTTGAATGATACAGTTGGATCTGTGGCTACCGAATCAGGGTTGTTCAACAAATTCAGTCCTAGTGCTCTACCTGCTGGCCCGTAGTTGTAGTTGCTGAAAAAATTCAATTATTTTATCTATAAGGACTAAAATATCAAAAGTTTGATTGAGAATTTTGTTATTATAAAAGATTAATTATCTTACTGAGTGAGTTGAATTGGTCCACGGCCGTAATATTTCTGGCCGGGAGCACAAGGCCATTGTTGGTTGGGTGAACAATAAGTGTCTTGATTTCTCTCCCTAATGAAACAATATCCCCATGCGAATGGGCCATCTGGTGCACTTGGCCATCCTCCTGCACCACAATTTATATGTTAATTTTCCAATCAAATCAACTTCTTAATCATTAAGGTGAAACTATTTAAGTGGGTTAGAACACCATTAGACATATGAGAGGAATTAAAAAAGTATGCATTGAATCTAAATTTTATTAGTGAGGAGTCATATTGAATAATTTTTCCTTAATAATTACTAACCAGTAGTTTCATGAGAAGTTTGGCCCAAGAAAGCCGCCAACTCCCTTTTACGGGTAGCATCATCTCCTGTTGTTCCAAAGCCAGGAAAGGATCTCGTAGCAGAAATGAAAGCATTGTAACTATAGAACCCATTACTAGGGCATCGTGCATCGTTKCGATACTTGAGCATTTGGTCGAAGATGGCAGGGGTGATGATCCTGCCAACGTCTCCCGATCCCGGGTTTGTGGGTGTAGGAGTTTGGCCGCCACACTGGCTCTGGCAACCATTTTTGCAGTACTCATCAGTGGAGCCGCACCACCCGTGCTGGCTGCAGCAGAGGCGATTGGGGCAGAGGGCGCCATTGGCCTGCCGCCCACATTGCTCCGCAGAAGCAGCTCCCAAAAACAAGGCAAAGGCCAAGATGATTAGCGTATGGGCTTTCATTTTCTTTTCTATCTTTGCTTGGTGATGATTGAACAAAATGAGAACCAAAACGGCTCATATTTATAGGCTGCGTTTGGTTTGGTTTTTGGTGGACTTTTCAAACCAAATGAATAAACTAAACAAATTTTGGGGTAAGATTGTTGGAGCTTGACCGGAACCTCTTAATATTAAGGTCACTCGCCCACTCTCAAGTCTCGACTTCTAAATGGTGTAATAAATTGTTATGAAGAATTCTCCTCAATTTAATGGAGGGACCCACCCATGCCTAATTTTTGAATAGTCTCACCACTACTACAAATCTTCAAGTTGACCCATTAACATCAGTGCCGTCTCGATCCGGTAAGAAATTTTACATTGTTGGATAAGCATTTAAATTTTCAAATCAATTATTAGGAAGCAACATATTGTGGCGGCTTTATAAATAATGTTTTCATTTATAGAGTTTGGTTTTAAATATCAAAGATATTGGGTTTTTTTTTTTTTTTGAAATATTGACATGTTCGATGGATATATTTATTAAAAATTTTAAAAAATTCATGATAAATATTTTAAATAAGTTAAAATTAAAATTATTTAATATTAAAGATATTTTCTTGTTAATTTGTTATATTTTGTCTTTTTTTCTGTGCGTATGGTAGAAATATTGATCCATCCCTCATGTCGATATCAAACTGATCAATGTATAGAAATATCAAACATGTTAGAGAGAAATTTAATACTTTTGTAATTGTTACTCTTTTTTCAAAATGGTTTTTTAGGTACGTTAGAGAAAAAAAATATAATTCTTACCGCATAATTTAAGAGTTTCTCTTCTTTTTACCGCAAAGACAAGATTTGAATGGTATGTTCTTTGATACTTTTTTTAACTCTACAATACGTGGGGTGAGAGAATTTGAACCTGCAACCGTTTAGTAATGGTTATGTGTCATTAACTATTTAATGACTATTTAATACTAATTATGACTTTGTTATCTATATGATATGCGTATCAATTTGAGATTTTTTTTAGTGGTCAGACATGTGCATCTCCTTATTCAAATCATGTGGGTTGAACTCCCACTTCTTTATTAATAACATAAAATTATAGTACTAAAGAAAAAAACATAATATTTTATAGAAAAAAATTGTGCGGTGTGTATAACTATTTTATTAGTAAATGGAAAAAAATTGGCTACACATGAGTAAGTAATAATTCTTATTAATTTTTCAATATCGTCTATTTCGATTAGATTATAAATATTAATTGAATACATATTTTTATTACAGAAGTTGTAAATAGATCTTGTAAAAAAATATATATAAAAAAGATATAAATTGATCAACAAAAATTACTTATACAAAGAAGGAAGTATAAGCATACACTTAAATTTTGTTCATTAATTGACAATTAACGAAAGAAAAAAACTTAGGCTATGTTTGAGCCAGCAAGTCAAGTGCTCTTAACCAAGCATGTGGGAAAAAACAAAACTTGTTTGACAAATAATGAAGCTACATAAAATTTGGTGGGGAGATGTAGTTATTTATTTTATATTTTACTTTCGGATGGATTTAAAAATTACCACAGTTATTTAAATTCTAGGTCCAATTTGATAAAATTGAAGAGTTTAGGATAAATATTTATCAGTATTAAAATATAGATCCATTTTCTTTTGGATGTGAGATCCTTAACATGTCTCTCAAGATCTCGTTTGAATGTTTTGGACTTTCCTACCATATTGTTAGGTCTATTTTCTTTTGGGATCCTTAACATAAAATAATAAGGTAGTTTTAGTACGGTGATAATTCTTGTAATTTTATGGCGAAATCGGGTCCTCAAGAGACAATTTTAAAGCTTCAATTTATATCAACGTTAACTTAAGACAATAGAAAATTTGAAGTCATATTTGAAATGTTATTTTAGTTTTTACACCCATCGTATAGACAAAAACTACCATAGTTTTACGAATAGTTTCAGAATTATCATTTTTATTATCTTTCTTACTTCGTTATCATTGATTGCTGTATTAATTTTCTGAAAACTAACAAAATTATTATCAACATAGTATGGAATAGAGGTATTTTAATGAAAAAAATTAATAGACATTTTAAAATATGAAAATAAGAAAAAGGAAAAAAAAACTGTAGAGAGATGCATAAAAGCGGAAACTTCGCGGCGGCTCGAAAATAAAAGATTGGAGTCTTCGCGATCCCCGAATTTCCCGGCGCCGATTAAGGACTTTCTATCGGACTCATTGACCAATTGGAGGCGGCGGTGACGTGGCATTAGTGGTGGTGGAGACGTGCCTAAATCTATTTACTTAAATAGTTCAAAATACTTTCCCAGTTAATTAGAGATGAATTCAAATTCCACGATAACCACCTTAAGAATTAATAATTCCTATCTATTTTCGAATATGATAATATGTGACAAGTAGTTTGGATTGGAAATGGGGCGGGGTCGGGGTATCCCATCCCTCGTTGGCCTCGTCCCTGAAAATTTGGAGGCGATAATGGGACGGGGAATCCCTGATTGGGGACGGGGTCCCCTACCCGACTTTCTTTAATTTTTTTTATTTTTTATTTTTATTTTTAAAGATTTATTAATATTTTAATTCTTTTAAAAAATATAAACTTTTTATTTTATAGAACAGTGTAAAATTTAGTTAAATACAATTACGATATTTTGTATGTGTTTATTTTTTCAATACGAAGAATAAGAATGAAGGTTTAATCCAAGAATCCAACAATTCAAACCTCAAGTTTGAAGTTATACAACCTAAACAAGGAAAAATCAAGAAAATTGACGTAATATTATCCAACATAAAATTAACATAACATAATATTACAATAGTTCTATCTCCAAAGTTATGATAAAAATACACTATAAAAGTCTAGAATAAAAATATTATGTCTCTAAATTTTTACACTCAATCTTATTTAAGACCTAAAATTTGCATTAATATTCTTTTGTTAGAGTTTTTTATTTATTTAATATAAATCTTAGATCTATTATAAAAAGAAAAAATAAATAGAAATCTTACGTCACCACATTTGGACTTGTATCGAGTTTAATAATATATGAGATTCAAAACACAAAACAAAGAAAAATTTATGTTGTGTGGAATATACGGTAGAGAATATTTGCAAAGGAAGGACTAAATTGAATTTTTCTATAAAGTCTAGTGATACCTTCTATTAAATACGATATAAAATTTTTGCAGTAGTCAAAATGACTATAACTCAGTGGTAATTGACATATTCCTCCAACCATGATGTTGTGAGTTCGATCCACCACCCCACATGTTGTACTAAAAAAAACTAATATTTTAATATTTTTTTTAGAATTGTGGCGACTCCAAACTTTTACCATTTGATAAAAAATATATGTTTTAACTGATTAATCTATGAACAGTATCCTCTTTTTAGTCAATTTACCATTTGATAAAAAATATATATTTTAACTAATTAATCTATGAACAGTACCTCTTTTTAGTCAACCTGTGGAGATGGAGATTCAGATTCATGAAGATTGAAACGCTTCCCAAATTGTGCAAAAAGTTTGCAACAAAATCAAAATTTTGTTTTGTTTTTATTTTTTTTTATGTTTTAAAATTTTAATTTTTTCAAAATATAGATAAAAGCATTATTTTATTCTTTTTGACTTATAAATACACAATAAAACATAGAAAATAAATATATCATACAAAAGCAGTACTTTTTTAACTTAAAATTTCAACGAACGAAAAACAATAAATAATTATTAAATATGTTTTGTTTCTTTCTTTAATAGAAAAGAAAGAATAAAGAAAAATAATTATCAAATACAAATATATTTTTACAAGAAAAGAAACATAAACGTTATAAAACGAGTCTAAAATTAAGTTTTGTATCTTAAAATTAACTAAAGTTTGGAATATTATAAAATATATATATTATTTTGAGCAAGTTTTGGAGTTGGGGCTGGGCTCTGGTCAATATTGGGCTGGGCTCTGGTCAATAGAGGGCTGGGCCTGCCCCCTTTTTTTTCGTTCCTTTTGTTTCTTGATAACCCATTTTTTACTTCCTAATCCGTCCTTCAATATATAGTTCTTTTCAATAGACATAATATAAAGATTAAAACTTATATTTATAATACATATAATAAAATTTATTTTCTATTATTCTATTTTGAATGTGTTGATTTATTTTCAATTCAAATTGTTTCGTAAAAAGGAAATAGAAAAAGTGTGTGATAGGGTGAAAGTGCATAAACCACTAAAAATATTTTTTTTATGCCTTATTTGATAACCATGCGGTATCAAAATATATCATAAATTATAAGTTAGGGAACCAATTATTTTATATTTGAAATTTGATGTCACTTAAAATTATACGGGACTCAACTATTGAGACAACGACAATTGCATTTACTATTGTTTTAAAATTATGGGGATAATATTTATAATTACAATCATCCTTGTTTTCCTTTTCTTATTTTCTATTTTCTATTTATAATTTTTGAAAGACATTTGAGTTTAGAAATCATACTTTGTTTCTTGTTCATTTATTTATTTGTATTTCTAAAACAAATTGTATATAAATTTTTGTTACAAAAAGTATATGTAACTTATACCTTAGTTTCATCTTGTCAGTGTTTTAAAAATATAAATAAAAAGTATGTTCTTATCAATTTCTTTAACTTAGAAGATACATAATAAATATTTAAAAATTAAAAAAGTATTTTACTATTAAAGTTTTAAGTTTCAAACAAAACTTAAAATTTTTAATTTAAAATTTAAAATAACAAAAAATAAGAGAGAAAAAAAGGATTATTACCAAATATACTCATGCTTTTTCTTAAATAAAGAATAAGAAATAAAAAATAATTACCAAATACATTTTTGTTTATCTCTTTCAAAAATAAAAAATAAGAATAGAAAAGGAAAATTACCCGATGAGGGTTGTGAGGGAGATCCAAATGAGGTTTAGTTAAAATTTATGTCCAATGAGAGTTTTAACTGAAATTAAATTTTAAGAAGGAAAGCTTTGTTTATTTAATCTGAATAATTTTAAAATTTTAGAATGACCCAATAATTTGAAAAAGTGATTAAATTGATGCATTCAACAAAAAAAAAAAAATTTAAAAAGAGAGTAAATTTGAATGGTTTCCATGTCTCGTCCATTAATTATTTATAATATCCATCTTTACAAAAGGATTAACTGATAAAAATAAATACTTTTTAAAAAAATATACGGTCCAACTTATAGCTCACCTAATTAAAGATATAATTTCTGATTTTGAGGTCGGTTCTAATCCCGATCCTACATGGAAAAAAATTTAAAGAATCTTTTTTTATTTTATTTAAATTTAATGAAGATCTCAGACATATTTGTAAAGGTATAGTTTTTTTTTTCCTTTAAATATTATAGGTATATAAGCTTAATTTTGAAAACAAAAACTAACAAAAATCTATGTCTCATCCAATAGCATTTTATTTACTCTTAAAAAAAAGGCATTTTATTTTAAAAAATTAAGTTTATGAAAACTAGAAATACTTGAATGCTTTGTTTTAAATTTTTTTTTCCTTGAAAACATCTTTCTTATACTTTTCAAAATTTGGGTAACATTTTAAAAGCATTTGAAAGTATGTCAGAATATAAAAGAAAAATGATAATAAATAAGCATGTTTTTCTAAATGAAATATATGTTTAACTAATAAAAATAAATCGTATTAAAAAATTATTTCAAAAGAGTGGAATAACAACCCTTCATGATTGCAGTAAAAGATTGTGTTAAATTAAGAGAAACCCTTACTATAAAATATAAATAGGGGAACTTCTCTGCTAGACTCCATCAACTAATCTTCTTTACAATATATTCTTATATTCAAAGAGGAGAAGAATGACATTTTACGTATTAATTTTCTCATCTCTTGGTTTGTGGTTGGGAGCCTCTGCATAGCAATGTCTGGGCGGCAGGCCGGCGGCGCTGTTTGCCCAAATGGGCTGTGTTGCAGCCAATAATGGTGGTTGTGGCACCATTGACCCCTATAGCGGAGCTGGTTGTCAGAGCCAGTCTCGTCTCGGTGGCTCGACTCCATCTCCCACCCCCCAGCGTTGGAGGGGATGTTGGTGGGCTCATCACCGAATGCTCAAGTATCGCAACGATTCAGTTACTTATTATATGAAATCTCTTGAAGATGAATAAACCATCATTCAATCCAAAAGTTTAAACTGAGGATTTGGGTAAATTTAATTCTTTTACGAGTATCTCAACAAAATTCTATACATAAATGGCTAATTGAGAGGAATATGGTATGGAAACCATACGGTATAGGAGGATGGACAACAGCACCAGATGGTCCTTAATTATGCATATATTGGAACTTATTCCTGATGCTACCTATTGTGTATCTCTTCTCTAAACCCTATTTTTCACACAAATTAAAATTGCTCTGTCATATGATGAGCTTAGAACTATAATGTCAATTATATAGCTAAATATATTTTATATCTTGTTTTCATTGTAATCAACTACAACTACGGGCAAGTTGATATATTATGATCGAGAATTGAATTTGCTGAATAATCTAGATTTAGTAGCAACAAATGCACTCATATATCATTCAAGACTGTCATTTGGTTTTGGATGATACATAAATTTCTTCTATATTTAAAAATACATATTTATTTATAAAGTGAATATTCATTCTTTTATTTATTGCAAATTATACCTATATTACACAATTCAGACATCACACATACGAACCATACTTGTCTTTTACAGCACCAGAAAGATAATTTATTGCATAGTTTAAGGGTAAATATTTAGCTAAACGGACTTTGGTTGTAGCAATCTAAGTTGTTTCCGTAACTTGTATTCAATATGTCGCAGTATCTTTTGTAAAATCCAATTCTGTCAGCAACTCTGTCATCGGGACCATGCCCACATTCGAGTCCACCATTAATGATGTTTGTGATGACACCATAGCCAGGAACTCTTCCAGCAGAGTTGTCGGCACTCGACGGTTGCCACTTGCCAATAATAACATCATGACTTGATGGTTTGTTTCCTTGTGGTGTCATCCAAAACCAAATGGCTGTCTTAAATGATACAGTTGCATCTGTGACTACTGAGTCAGGATTATTCAACAAATTCAATCCCAATGCTGTTCCCGCTGGCCCGTAGTTGTAGTTACTAAAAAAATTCAATAATTTTATGGATTAAGATTACAATCTCTCACAAATTTTATTATAAACTTAAAAAAAAAATTCAAAAGAGTAAATAGAACTTACTGAGTAAGCTGGATTGGTCCACGACCGTAGTATTTCTGACCAGGAGCACATGGCCATTGTTGGCTGGGTGTGCAATAGACATCTTGATTTCTCTCCCGTATGAAACAATATCCCCATGCATATGGACCATCAGGTGCAGTTGCCCATCCACCTACATCACATTCAATTGTATAATATTCAAATAAGGTGCATCACTTCACACTAATCTATTTTAACAGAGACTTCAAGTTCAAAGTAGTAACCAGTAGTTTCATGAGAAGTTTGGCCCAAGAAAGCCGCCAACTCCCTTTTACGGGTAGCATCATCTCCTGTTGTTCCAAAGCCAGGAAAGGATCTCGCAGCAGAAATGAAAGCATTGTAACTATAGAACCCATTACTAGGGCATCGCGCATCGTTGCGATACTTGAGCATTTGGTCGAAGATGGCAGGGGTGATGATCCTGCCAACGTCGCCCGATCCCGGGTTTGTGGGTGGAGGAGTTTGGCCGCCGCACTGGCTCTGGCAACCATTTTTGCAGTACTCATCAGTGGAGCCGCACCACCCGTGCTGGCTGCAGCAGAGGCGATTGGGGCAGAGGGCGCCATTGGCCTGCCGCCCACATTGCTCCGCAGAAGCAGCTCCCAAAAACAAGGCAAAGGCCAAGATGATTAGCGTGTGGGCTTTCATTTTCTTTGCTATCTTGGTGATGATTGAACAAAATGAGAACCAAAACGGCTCATATTTATAGGCTGCAATTGGATTTTGGTGGACTTTCCAAACAAATAAATTAAACAAATTTGGGTAAGTTGTTCGAGCTTGACCGCAATCTTGTTATTCTAATTCTCCATTATTAATTGCACAAGCCTATTATTTTAAATTATCTCATCTCAATTCTTGCCACTAGTAGTAAATCTTCATGTGCAAGTCTTGCAATTAAAAAACTACATATATGAAAAATTTAACACCTAAATTAGCCATTCTTTAAGAAAATTTATAATTTTGCCCTGACAAATAATGAGGGGTAGTATAAAAACTTTATGTACTATTCTAATATACCAGACATTTTCCTAAAATGCTTAATAGATAAGATATCAATTACCTTATTTGATGTTGAAAGTTCAATCCCTTACTTCAATATTTATGTTGTACTAAATTTTTTTTTTGAATTTTTAGATATTTTAGAAGAAAAATTATATTCTTATCATGTATGTAATAGACTAATAGTTATAAGGTGATAGTCATATAGTAGTTGTCATTTTTAATAAATTATTTAAAAATATATTTCTTGCCCGAGGGACAAGATTGAATAATGATATCTTCCCTGAAGTAAGACTTTATCATAGATTCATATATATGTGGTCCAATTTGAGTAAGTTTAGTATCTTTTTATTATACGCGTTGTAGGTTAGAATCACACTATATATTTAAAAAAAGTAAATAAATAAAGTTAATCTATTAGTTTAGTAACAAAAGAAAACACGAAAATTTATGTAGTTTCATTCTTGAATAATGTTATAATTTAGTGAAAGATTAGAGTTATAATTTTAGAAAATTATATTTTATCAACACATGAATCCTAAGTTTCTTGAAAAAATTGTAAGGAAAAATTATTATAGGAATATCGAGGAGAGAAAATCTAATGACATAAAACAATTTATTGAAGGATAAATTTGAAACTTTGAACGAGAAAAAAAAAGTATAGAAGATTAATTAAATTAAAAATGAAAAAAAATTATAAGTTAATTTTGTAATAGGGTCTTATAAAAATATGATATAAATAGGCTCTAGAAAATAATTTAAATATGTTTTTAATCTCCCAGAGACATCAAAATTTGTGAGAGAACAAAGAAATTGTCATCAAATTAAAGTTCATTTATGTTTTATATTTGAATTAAAAAACAATAATATAAAAAAATTAAATATGTTGTACTAAAAAAAACATAAAGAAACACTTAAAACATAAGAGATGAAAGGTTACTCGCTACCAAATTAATTAAACAGATCTTCATTTTCTGGGCGGAAGGTCACAATTTAACGTTTAACGAGACATTCATTAAAATTAAATTAAGAATAAAAAGCTTCGGTTATTTAAACATTCATAAGTTTCTAAACAAATTATGCACGATATTAAAATTTAACATGATCCAATAAATCTGTGTAAGAAAAAAAATAATCCAATAAAAAAATGAATTATATATTTGGATGATTTGACGTGACATGCATTGAAAAAAAAAATAATTAATTGAATGGTTGTATGTTCCGTTAGTTATTTATACAAAAAAAAAAAACCTTCTTTTGACCAATTTACTGCTATTTTTAAAAATATATGTTTTATATTTGAATTAAAAAACAATAATATGAAAAAATTAAATATGTTGTACTAAAAAAACATATTTTCTATAACATGAAATTTGCTATGAGGAATTTTCTATAACATGATATAAATTAAACATGATATAAATTATCTTTGAACAATATTTTCTTAAAATAAACTTTATTTGATATATATTTAGGTAATTATTTCTATAAAATTTATTCGTTTCCTTTTAGATTATTGTCATGAAAAATTTATTTTCATCAAAGTTGCTATGGGGTTAAAAATCGTGAAATTATGAATGAATGATAAACTTTGTCGTAGCTTCATTCACCTCATCATAATTCTTAAAAGATAAAACTGAAGTAACTAAATATCTTCTTATTTACTACTATTAAAAAATTAATAATAATTGTATTTTCTCTCCTCTCTTGAGGATAAATTTTTCTAATGATGCATATGATAAGCAATCTAAGTTTTTTCTTAAATGTAACGTTAAAACTAAAAACATAATGTTATCTTTAAAAATACCAAACAAAAACAACAAAATATAAATGCTGTGAATTTTAGAAAATAATCATATCATGTATACTAAGGATGAATAAATGCTCACTCAACCCAAAAATTTAAAACTCTCTTGTTTGTGAGCTTGGATAATTGCATAATGCCCAACAAGTGAAAAACAACAATCCACGGGTCCAAACACAAGACCTACCATGTGAACTTTAGAAAATAATTCTACGAAAGAAATGGTCATGTAACACAGGCAAAATGAATAATAGTAATCAAATGCTAATTTCACAATAATAATCCTTAATATCTCAATATCAGTAATGATAATGTTGTTCAGGGTAGTTAAGTCTTAAGTTTACCTGAAGAATTTATGACTCTACTTAAAAAGTTAATAATAAATCAACTCATCTATAATAGCTATCCCATTTACATAAAAAAAAAAACTTTTATACAACTTATAAATAGGGGATTACGCCTTCGATTTTTAAATTTGAAATTTTTTATAAATTGAGAGTTAAGAAAATTTAAGGATATTTTTGTATTTGTGAGAATTTATACCAGAGCAAAGATGTACTTTCAAATTTGAAAAAATAGAAAAAAGTTAAAAAAAAAAAAAAAAGAAGAGATAAAGAAGGATCATGTATACAAATTTTTTGAGTCCTCAAAAATCCAAAGTGAGTGATCCAATCATGCTTTAAAAAAGCTCTCTAGTCATCATATTTTCCTTAAAAAAATCTTAATCTATATAGTGTTTTTTTCCTCCTTTTTTTTTGTAAATAATCTTAATCTATAGTTGATTTTTACTAGAAACCCAAAATTTGAGCTTGACTTTGACTTGGTTCACCGACTAACTTATCTTTATAAATTATTTAATTATAAAATTTTATTTACTTTGATATTTTCACTCATTAATCCAGATTTAGAAAAGTAATAATACTACGTTAATTTATTTATTTATTTTTAATTTACAAGCATAGGTAAAAACAAGCTCCCATTCAAAAATAAAAATAAAAAAAATTGTCGCGATTATTTTAAAATCATTTTCATTGTATGACCTACCAAAAGTGTATTTCTAAAATATGTCACATGCTTTTTTAATAAGAACAATGACATGTGGAAATGAGACTTCGAACTCAAGACCATGTGATCGGAGACTCGGAATATATGCGTTGACTAATTAGTTAGGTATAGATTGACATACCTATCGTTAGGATAATAGCTTTTTTGTGGCTTATATCAAGCAACATTGTTCACCTTTATTATTATAATATAACTTATTTTAATGATAAAAATCAAAATTTTTATTTTTACAAGGATAGTTTTCAAATTTCATTTTTATATTAGTATTGTAGAATATTAAAGACATAAAACTTTTTTTTTTGAGAAAAATTATATTAGACAATGATATATATAAATATCAAACAATTGAATGACTTATCAAACCATATGGTTTTTGAAAATAAAAATAAAAAAATAAGAAATCAAAACACTCTTTTTAAGTATAGACTAATAATTGATCCTTTTTTCTTTCGAGTACGATCTGCTAACTATTTTTTTTTTCTTTTGAGTGCAGAATAATGATTGGCTAACGTATTTATTGAATATTAATTTTTAACGATTTAGTGGTGAGAGGTTTTGATAGGTTTGGGAAGACGAATTGAGTTTTTTTTTTTAATTAGGGTTAATAATATTTAAATTGGACCAAAATGAATATTTTAAAGTATAGGGATCAAAATTAACAAAAACTAAAAATAGTATAGGGATCAATATTATATTTTAATGTTAAATTTACCTTAGCCTGTCAAATTAAACTTTTGAATTCGTGATTTACTTATGTTTAACAGGGTAGCAAAGTAGCAGATCTTAAGGTTTCAAGAAATTTTTAAAAGGGAAATTGGTGTGGGTAGCAAAATTTTTTTATATATTTTAAAATATGTCATCTGTTTTTAAAATTTCCATATATAGCAAAAATTTTCACTTATATCAGTACTATATCAGACCCTCATATCAGTAATATATCAAACACTCATATTAGTATATCAAAACATTCATATCAGTAGTATGTTAGAGCTATATCACATGCATATTGCACATACATTTATATGAGTAGAATATCAAACACTCATATTAGTAGTATATCAGATGTATATCGCATACATATTGTAAGTATATCAGACACTCATATCAGTAATATCTCATATATGTATATCGCATACATATATCAGTAGTCAGATATATTACAAATATATTATAGATATCTTACACATTTATATCGTAAAGTTTTCATTATAAAATTGAATTTCCGTTTTTTTTAAAAGTGCTATATTTGAAAAAGGTTAAATGTGGTTACTATTTTGTTAATTTTATTAAAAAAATTTGTGATATTTGCAACCCACCTATTTTATAAATAAACTACATGTTTAAAATGTTTAATCTTCAAAACTATTGTGCAGTTTGGCCTGGCCAATGAAAAAAAAGTCTCTTTATAAGAAGACAGCAGAATAATGCAATGTCAATAAATAAGACATTTAAGTGAATTAAAAATGCCAACCAAACCAAAGACCCTTTTGATCCCTATCTTTCTTTTTGTTAAATTTTACTTGAAATTTTAATTGCTAAATTTGATATATATATCCCTTCAAATTTAGAAGCAAATAACAAAATAAAAACATAGAATTTTCAATATAGTAGAAAGTTGAAAATTTCACAAATAATGTAATTTTATTTCGATTCAAACCAAAAACATTGTACACATGAGAATTAAAAAAAAAACAAAAAAAAGTCAATTTTGTGACATTTTTTTTCCAGAACAAAAAAGTACTAACATTTTTAAAAAGATATATAATATTTTTTTATCCAGTGTAATTTCTTCTAAAATTTAGAATATTATCCTAATATTTTATTTTCCAAAAATATCCATATCCATTCTTTAAATAATTGTCACATCGTAAAAATATTATTAATTTTTTTTACCATAATTACAATAAAACTAAGTTTTTTTTAGTACAACATTGTGGGGGTGGGGGTTCGAATTCATGACATTCTGGTCAGAGATAGGTGCCTTAACCATTTGAGCTATGCTCGGTTTAGAACATTAAAACTAAGTTTGAAATGACATAGCATCATTTTCTTTGGCTGAAGAAAAACCAACACTAGGGAATAGAATGAAGTATTTTTTGACCTTAAACTGCAATATTTTAGCTAATCACTCTTCTTAGTTTGTGAGGAGTTGGAGATTTTACTTTTTAATTTCTTTCGAAACTCATTAAATATCATATTATTTAAAGTTCATCATCAACCAATTTTAATATTCATCAACGAATGTTAAAAGAAACTGAAAGAATAAAATTAAAAAATTGTTGGGCAAAATTGAATTTTTTTAAACAAACAGATAACTACGTTGACATTGGCTGTGAGAAGAAATAGAGACATAAATTTTGTTGAGAAATCAAAAGTTGAAGAATCAAAGAAGAAGAGGAAAATACAGAGCAGAACCCCCCTCTCTCTCCCCATTATTCTGCTGCTTCATTTCTAATTACTTTCTTCTTTTCTTTCCTTCCACGGCAGGATCCAACTCAAAATAATAATAATAAATAAATAAAATAAACGATAACGACCCATTTTAACAATTAATTAAGTTTAAAGGTTTAGTTTTTAATGTCTCAAGAATTTAGGTGGTTTAATTCGTACAATTTAGTCTTGTTAATTATATATAAATTTGTGGAGTTGAAGGAAGAAAATCAATGATTTTGATTCTGAATGAGAAAGAAACGAATCACACATCAATTTTGTTGAGCTAAACTCATGTTGGCTACTAAACTAGGATACTATTCCGAAGCTAATAAAAAAGATAAGGTTGCTTAAACGTAGCATGGGATATTCACTTCATACAGTGCTCTCCTCATTTTTGTCCTTTGTCCTGTTGTATAAATGACATGTTTAAAATATTTATTTTCAAAACCATTAATGTGGATGAAAAATATACCGTGTATGGTTTGGCCTGCTCCTTATTATGAAGACAGCAGAATGATAATGAAATGTCAATAAATAAGACATAAATTTTTTATGTGAGTTGACAAACCAAAGTGTCCCTTAGGTTTTATCCACATGCTTTCTGTTTATTTTTACTTATATTTTATATTTTGATTTGCTAAATTTAATATATCCCTCCTAATTTAGAAGCAATGACGACACAATAAAAATCTATAGTTTTAACATAGTAATAAGTTTAAAATTTTACCCAAGTTGTGTAATTTTATATCAATTCAGCATTATACACATGAGAAGAAAAAAGACATCAAATTTGTGACATAAGAAAAATAAAAGTACTAACATTTGAGACATATAATATACTTTTTTCATCTAAACTAACTTCTTCTAAAATTTATAATATGATATTTAGGAGTTGTTTTAAGTATTGGTGTTGATTAAGCATAGTTCAAAAAAAATTGATCCAATTGAATCGATGTGGATCGATCGGTTCAACTAATAACTCGATCGGAGTCCGTTTTGCAATATGAAAAATCAATATGTCGGTCTATCATAGTGGTTTTAAAATCTATTTTCCAATTGATATTGAATAAATTTATACGGATTAAAGAAAGACGTAATTGGCATAGTCTCCTTTTATTTACTTTTAATGTTTTTAACAAGTAACCTACTCTATAGAAGGATTTTAAATATGGAGGTCGGATAGAAAGGATGAGATCACAATTTCATGAAAATATTGATGAAAATATCGATAAAATGTCGATATCGATAAATATTTTTAAAAATATTATAAAAATAAAATATTTGAAAAAAATTTAAATTAACAAATAATCCTTTCATCATTTCTAAATAAGTTTAAAATGATTAAAATTAATATTATGCTATATTAGTAAAATTTTGTTGATATTTTTTATTTTTTTAGATTTTTTTATAATATTATGAAAATGACGATTTATCTCTCGTATCGATATTGAATCCATAGATACATAGATCAATGGACATATCGACATGTCGACAGATATTTAATATCATGCTCTATAACATAGCTATGACCGGTTGTCTTACTCACCCTCTTTTCTTCATCTTTTTTCTTCCATGATTTCTTCTTCTTTTTCCTCATTTCTTTTTTTTTTCTTTCAAATGTTATTTGTTTACTTTTATTCTTTTTATTTTTGCCACTAATAATTATTAAATAAAATTAATTATTTACCATCATGGGTGCAGTTGTTCTAAAAAACACTAATAGTTTAATTAAATTTATTTAGTGTTAATTCTTCATTTTTAATTAAAAAACTTAACTTTTCAAGTTTAGTACCAAGTAATTTATATACACAAAATTAGTCATAAATTTACTTTAAATTTAAACAAGTAATTAATAAATAAATATGTAATTAAAAACTTCAAATAATAATTAGTAGAAATTTAAAAAATAAGGCAGGGGAAGGGGAAATTATGGAAGAGAAGATGGGAGAGAGAACTTAAAAATGTCAATTCTTCTTCTTCTTCTTCTTCTTCTTCTTTTTTGGGTATATATTGAAAAGTGGTGTTTGAAAAAATAATTGCTCCAGTTATAAAAAAAAGAAAAAAAGTAACGTCTTTTAAAATTAAAAATTAAAAATTAAATTTAAATAGTTATCAAATTAACAGAGAGAGAAGGGGGTGACAGGCAGCAAATTTGAGGAAGGTCAGAGGAAGAAAAATTATTGAAGTAGGTTAAACATTATGACGAAGGTTTTAAATGTCGATCTTGATAGAAATACTGAGGTTTTAATTTCATGAAAATATCGACGAAAATATCGATAAAATGTTCATGTCGATGTCGAACTCATGAAAACATGGATATATCGATGGAAATGTCCATATGTCGACGGATATTTAGAACCATAATTAGGATAGATAGTTTTATCGTCAAATGCATAAGAGATAAATTATAAAAAGCACATTTTAAACTATTATCAAAGGGTACAAATTTTTGAACTTGCATCCAACAATTATTAAGAAGCAACCTCACTATGTCAAGGGACCATATTTAATAAAAAGTGGATAACTTTTCTTTTTTTAGGAGAACACGTGGATGAAAGTTCAAACTCACAACCTCTTGATTGTATATGTCAAATATGTTCGCTTTGACAAGAAGTAAAAAATTGGTGACTTAGTTTAATACTTCCCCTAAATTTCTTTCAAATTCATTAAATATCATATAAATGTTAAAAAAATAATTATAATAATAAAATTAAGAATGAGTTAAGTTGAAGAATTTAGTTTTTAGACGTAAACCCACTAAATTTATCACGTGGGGGTTAGAGGTCATACATAGTAGTACTCTCTTGGATGACACTTATGAAAGGGTTTGTGATTTGAAGATAGCTAGCCGGTGCCCTTGAGTTATGCTATAAATAGGAGGAGTTCGCTTGAAAGCTTCATCAACTCATCTTGTGTTGCAAAGATGGGAAGAAGGAAGGTTTATGCATCTATTTTGTTATGTTTTTGTTTGTGGTTAGGAGGCTCTGCAGGACCACTGGAATTTGAAAATGACGCCGGCGACGTCGCCCTCATCGAACCTTATTCTCAACATCGTCGCCCGAGTCCAATTAGGCGGCCACCTCCTCCGATCAGGCGCCCTCCTCCACCGATTAGGCGGCCACCTCCTCC